CCTCTGTGATAGAACAAAACAGGGTAGCTCCCGAGAGGGTCTGGGATAGGGAGTGAGCACATGCTTACCCTGGAGGTGGTGCTCACAGCATCTCAGACACGCAGGAACAGGGAGGGAGGGCGCCCACGGAGGAGCAGCACTTAGTGAGGCAGGAGCAACCAACATGTTCAGAAAACAGGAGGCCACATGGTCAGAGCCTGGTGGCAGAGGGGACCCTGTGCCTGAGGAGGCCACCAAGGCAGGAGGGAAAGGTACGTTCTCCGGGGGCTAGAGCTAATGGGACTTGCTGGCAGGTTGGAGGTGGTGGGTGAAGGGGAGGATGAGTCCAGAATGCCTGGGGACACCACAGTGTTCCCAGGGCTGCGCCTAGAGCCACGAGGAGACCCCAGGAGACTGTTGGGAGCCCTGGGGCCACACTCTTGACCTGGACATGCTGCTCTGGAGAGAGCGTCCATGGCATCCACGGTCCCTGAGAGGCATGGGGTATCGTGAAAAGAGCCCCCAAAATGCGCAAAGCAAAAACGGACAGAACTGAAGGGCATAATAGTCGAGTCAACCGTAAGAGTTGGAGACTTAGTACCCCACTTTGAGTAATGGATAGAACATCTAGACAAGATCAGTGAGGAGTTGGAGACTCAGTGCCTCACGTTGAGTAATGGATAGAATATCTAGACAGGATCAGTAAGGAAGCAGGACTTGAGCAACACAAAAACCAACCAGACCTAACAGACATATAGGACACCCCACCCAAACAGCGGGGTACACGGCCTTCTCAAGTGCACATGGAAAATTCTGAATGGGCACATGGAAAATGAGCCCATTTGTTAGGTCACCAAACACATCTCAAATTTTAAAGGATTGAAATATGGAGTATGTGCTCCAATCACAAGGAGATAAAATTGGAAATCAGAAACAGGGAAACTGGGAAATTGACACGTGGAAATTAACCTAGATAACCACTGAGCCAGAGAGTTAGGTGTGGAGGCAGCAGGAGAAACATCCCGTGCAGGGGTGAGGAGACATGAGGGAGCTCAGGGACCAGCTGCCTCCGTAAGGCCAGACTCAGGTCTTCTCTGGCTTCTCCATGGGCTGCAGTGGACCTGGGATGCAGTGTCTTTTTGTTGAACAGATGGTAAACGGGCTTCTACCGTGAGGACCAGTTCCTTCCTAAGTCTAGTGGGGTCCCTGACACAACTCCCAGGATCAGAATAAGCCACAGAGAAAGAGTATAAGAGGCCTGGAGGTCATCTCACCAAGGGGTTCGTTCTTGCCTGAGGGAAAAGGAGGATGTCACTGGATGAGAGAGCAGGTTGTCTACAGAGGCCAGAGAGGGTATGGCCATCTCCTGGTCCCAGAAGTCATTTAGTAAGGGACAGATCCCCCAGGACCAGGGAGGACACCGTGTAAGGATTTTGGTACAGTTGAAATGCTCGTTGGATTAAAAGGGGAGAGAAAAGCCTCGAGCCACAGGATGGGACTTGGGGGCAGGGATGTCCTGGGCCTGCTGTTAGAAATGGATGGGAGGACAGGTAAGGCCAGGGAAGCCAGAGGTGAGGCAAACAGTGCGGTGTCCGAGGCGATCGGGCTGTGCGGAGGCAGCTGGCCTCAGATGGGAACCTGCACAGAGCATTCGGAGGCCAAAGCCAGCCTGCGGGGCTCTGGAGGGCGTGGATTACCCAGAGGGCAAGGAGGCTGTGTTAGGTGTCGTTTCTCAGAGCTGCCTGCACTGGGAGGCTGATGTAAGGGCCCGCTAAGGGCGGTAGCTGGCCCAGGCATGAGATGCCCAGGCTCATCATCAGATGAACAAAGGTTTTGGCAACCTGGGTGGGCAGATACTGCTTCTTTGTGTTTCTGTCACCTTTGCTAAGTATGAGGGTGAACAATAGCTGGAACCTGTACCCACTCCACAGATGTCACCCAAGAAGAGGGATGCCAAGGTGATAACAGCTCAGCACTATCAGATGCAATCCCAGGCTCTGGCATCTCTAGAAAGGTTCCCAGTCCAGGTCCCTCGCCTCCTGGCTGCACCCAGGACTCACTCCACACCCCTGACTCCCTGTTCATGTCTGCCTTGAACTCTAAAGCCCTGCCCCCAGCGTAGCCTCAGCGTTTTACATCAGTTGGGAGTTTGGTCTCATCAGGTATGGGCCACGAGCATTGTAATCATCTGCTTCCAGCGCTGGGCTGAGCACCTTACCTGCCCTGCCTGTCACCTCACGCATCCCTGTTTTCCAGGTGAGGAGACCGAAGCCTGGGCGAGGTAAGGTTTCACTCTGAGAAAATGGCAGAGCCGGAATAAACTTGACAGTTCTTCTTGCCTTCAAGAGGCGGCAGGGACTAAGCAGCCTCTGCGCCCCTCGTGCTCTTGTCCTGGCCAGAGTTGGTACTGACTCTAGGGCCAGGCTTTTCACAATTGCCCCAGTGACTAAGAGAACCCACTGTTGTGTTACAAGGATTTTGTGTTTCCCACGCACTTTAATGATGTCATCTTGTGGGGATAGTGCTAATCAGCCCTCACTCATACAGTCCCCTGGGACTATTTCCAACGCCCTCTCAGAACACGGGCCTCAAGCAAGTAGCTCAGGCTTGCTTTTCCCACACAAACCCATGTTGTCAGCTCACACGGGAGGCGAAAGTCCAGGGTATGGTTTTTTCTGACTGTCGTGAACGAACTATGTGACTTCAATTAATGTTCTCTGGGTTCTCACTGCCACACGCTGCAGTCCTGGGCCTGTAAGCTAAGATGATGTTTACATTTTTAAAGGATTATAAAAGCAAAAACAAAGAAGAATATATGACAGAGACCAAATGTGGCCCACAAAGCCAACAGTACCGACAGTCTGGCCCTTTATGGGAAAATGCGCCACCCCGACTTGAGGGGGGTCTCCCTTGGCTCCTGTGCTCTTCGGTTTTATTTATTGCAGTTTGCTTTCCCAGGCCCCTCTGCAGTTTGCAAAGCACTTTCACATGCATCATCTCCTGTAAGCCCCAGCAGCTTGTCGAGGCAGACGGGCCTCATTTGGCTAAACTTGACCTCTGAGGAGCATGTTTGAAAATAAGAAAATTGGTTCTTCTGCTTGCTCTTGCGGGGAGTATGCCAGGAGGAGCAGCACCCACTCATCGGTGTGCTTTTGGCTGCTACATTCTGAGACAGGACATAAAATGAGGGATTGTGTTACGGGAGAGGATAAACACTACTCATTTTAAGTTTTGAGGGGTTTTTTTTATTTTGTTTTGTTTTGAGATGAGATGTGTCCTTCAGGCTGGAGTGCAGTGGCATGGTCATAGCTCACTGCAGCCTCAGACTCCTGGGCTCAAACTGATCCTCCTGCCTCAGCCTCCGGGGGAGCTGGGGCTACAAGCATTCACCCCCATGCCCAACTGATTTTTGTGTGGTTGGGTTTTTTTGTTTGTTTGTTTGTTTTTGTTTTTTTTGTTTTTTGAGACGGAGTCTCGCTCTGTCGCCTAGGCTGGAGTGCAGTGGCACGATCTCGGCTCACTGCAAGCTCCGCCTCCCGGGTTCCTGCCATTGTCCTGCCTCAGCCTCCCAAGTAGCTGGGACTACAGGTGACCGCCACCATGCTCAGCTAATTTTTTGTATTTTTAGTAGAGACGGGGTTTCACCATGTTAGCCAAGATGGTCTCGATCTCTTGACCTCGTGATCCGCCCTCCTCGGCCTCCCAAAGTTCTGGGATTACAGGCATGAGCCACCGTGCCCGGCCTGGTTTTTTATAAAGACAGAGTCTTGCCATGTTTCCCAGGCTGGTCTCAAACTCCTGGGCTCAAGCAATTCTTCTGCCTCAGCCTCCCAAAGTGTGCTGGGATTACAGGCGTGAGCCACTGCGCCCAGCCCATTTTAAGTCTTTTTTTTTTTTTTGGAGACAGAGTCTCCCTGTGTGGCCCAGGCTGGAGTGCAATGGCATGATCTCAGCTCACTGCAATCTCTGCCTCCCGGGCTCAAGCCATTCTTGTGCCTCAGCCTGTAGCTGAGATTACAGGCGTGTGCCACCACGCCCAGCTACTTTTTTTTGTATTTTGAGTAGAGACAGGGTTTTACCATGTTGGTCAGGCTGGTCATGAACCCATTTTAAGTCTTGGTTGCTAGTTGTTCACACTCTAAAGCTAAAGTTTGTGGAATAGGAAACAGGTCCCTCCCCTCAACCTGTGACTGGGCTTTGTCTTTGATGGTTCTGTTCTAAACGCTTCACAAGCAGGCTTTGGTCCAAAACATCCAAGCTCTTACTTGCTCTGGAAATAACGGCCCACCCTGAGACAAGGATGTGCACGGTAGAATGTTCCAGGGCTAGGAAGGGAAACCATTTCTATCTGGTGTGATGCGACCGTTTTACACAAGTCCGCTGCCCTCAAGGGTGGAGAGGGTCGCTTTTCAGCTCTTGGCAGGATGAACAGGGGCCAGATGAGGTTCGGCTGTGTTTGAATTTGGGGGTGGCGGGCCAGTTAGTGTAACCTGTGGAGAAACAAGAAACCGATCCGGGTGCTGCGGATACTTTCCCAGCCACTGAGAGGATTCCTTGGCATGTGTTTGTGAAGCTGGGTGCAGAGGTTCACCAGGGGGAATTTTTGAGCTTTGGGCTGAAATCCTGGCTCGTTCGGGTGCTGGGCTCTGGGAGTTACTGGGAGTTAGCTGCCCGCGGTGCATGTTGGGATATTTGTTATGGAGCCAAGAGTTGCTCGGTTGCCGTGAGGCTGATGCCCTCTGACCCCGGCTGTGTGCTCCTTGTTTCAGAGGTCAGCTGGCGGCTCCAGTCCTGAAGGCGGAGAAGGTAAGGAGCTCTCTAACACCTTTGGCCATCTTCAGTTTTAAAAACGGAAGGAACCTGATTTTTCTCCTCCTCTTCTCATCATTTTCTGTAGATTCTGACAGAGAAGATGGAAATTACTGCCCTCCTGTCAAGCGAGAAAGAACGTCCTCTTTAACCCAGTTCCCACCCTCACAGTCAGGTAAAATCTGCAAACTTACCAAATAGTGAAAGCGTTTATGCTTACAAACCCGCCGTTCCCCTCAGTGCTGCGCGTCCGTCTGCTGTGTCCTTCCTGCCCAGCTCCAGTTAGAGTCGATCTGAGGCTCGGACTCGGTCAGGAGTGAGGTGAGAGCTTGCCCAGAGTGCAGCACCAGGGGTCCTCGTCTAGAATCAGTGACGCTGACAGCATGGTGAGACTTGGTGGCCTGAGGAAGACTGGGAAGAGATCGTCCCTCTGAAATGGAGGAAAGGGGTTGACTGCTTAGAGCCCTGTTGGGGCCTCTGCCTGTTAATTACATCTCCTCTTTCCAAGGCTGGGCACAGACTGGGGGTTTAGGGGTGGGGTGTTCTCCTGACCCCTCAGCTGCATGCCCAGCACAGGCAGTCCAGTGCAGTAGCCCAGACATGCAGATGCATGTGCACACAAGCATGCACACACAGTAACCGGCAAGCCAGGAGGCCCCAGCAGAGGCCCGTGTGTGATGCTGTGAACTCCCAGAGGAGAGGAGCTTGTGGGGGCCTGGAAGGGTGGGTCAGGCTCGGACTGTGGAGTAGGGCAGGCTAAAGGGCTTGGAGGCCCTGGACGTGAGGCCTGGTCTGAGCACAAGCATGGAGGTCAGCCTGGGGACTCATGCAGGCTGGTACAGGAGAGAAGTTCCTGAGGCAGATAACGCCATCAGCACTACTTAATGTGACACTCAGAAAGCCTGGCCTCCAGCCATGGAGTCGCCTGTGCAGATGTGAAGGTAAACACCACCACAGGGCTGTTCTCTCGTCCTCGTCTTGACTTCCCACTCTGGCATTGTCTTGTGGCCTCTGTCTTGGCTGTCTGTAGCACCAACTTGGAGATACATGAGTGTTTAGACAGGTTCTCCGGTTACCCAACTGAAATCCATTCTTGGAAAGTTCATGTAAATCATTTTACAGTCCTGAACCTTCAGGATGTCACGTTGTTTCTGTGTATAGAAGTCACGCATGCGTTACAGGAACACACAGTGTAGGAAGCCAGGGTCCTTCCCGAGTCACCCCTCCACACCCCTGCTTTCATGCCCCTTTCCCATCATGTTGGTTTTGGACATGGCCACGTCTTTTTGCAAGGCTGCATTAGGTTTTCCAGTGCTGTTACACTGTCGTCTGCTGACCGGATATTGTGGAACTGTCCAGATGGCTTGCAGTCGACATCCTTTATTTAATGATCTCTGCGCCCGTGGATAGGTGTTCTGTGGAATGAGGGAGCTCTGCTCCCTGCTTATTGATTTTATTCCTTCCCACTCACTGCCCACTGCTAGACCATGCTTGCTGCATCGGAAACCAGCATAGAGAAGAAGTGTTTGGGCTGTGAATGTAGGCTAAAGAGGTGAGGGACCACTGTTCTGCTCCCCTGGCCCACTTCAAATCACCTCCCGTCCAGCACGGCAGCCCCCAAGAGACAACTCGGCTTTCCATCTTCAGGGCAACTGGAGGCGTGAGGGGCACTGATAATTTGAACAGTGTTGTCTTTGGTTCCATTCTGCGTAGAGTGAGTTCTTCCCCTACGAATTCCACTTCATTTGTGGAAACCTGTTGGCCGGCTCACACCTGGGAAGCAGTTGCCCTGATGAAGGAAGATCTTAGGTGGGGGAGGGGACCCCATGGACAATCCTCCACAGGTGAGAAGGAGTCAGGGCCTCCAATGTGGCCTGGAGCATCCAGTACATCCCCTGCCAGCTGCCCCTGCAGGGGTGCAGGGACAAGGGGGTGGCCCCAGTTGACCAGAGTTAACTAGTCATCAGACAGATGAAGGCCGTCGGGCTGGAGACCCTCATAGTGCTATAAAGAGAGTTTTGGGGTTTGCTTTCTGGGGAAAGACTGAATGCCCTGTTCGCGTGCTGTCCCATCTCCTCCCGTGGGACATGAGGGTCCACCCCACCCATTCATGCTGTTTTTCCTCTTGTTCCCTCTCCCGCCTGCACCTCCTTGCTGACAGTTTCAAAAAACAATGTTTTTATGCCATCAAGCTTCTGCGAGCCATCTGCAGGCAATTCCGACTCAGACCCAGGTGAGCCTCCGCCCCTCTGCCTTCCCGCCCAGCCTGGGGGTTCTCCTGGGAGGAAAAGCAATTGGTGTTGGAAAATCAGATCTTCAGCGGGCATTTAAAGTCAGTCCTTTTTCAGCTGTTAAAATTTTCCTCCAACTCTTCAGCTTATAGTTTGGGGATCTGGTGTGAGATAAGGCTTCATAAGCCCTTATGTTTGTTTCTGCAAGCAGGGCTTGGTTGCATGGGGCTTTAAGTCCTCTAAAAACAACCTGTAAAGAAATGCATTACTCATTTTTCAAAATTTTACACAAGTAATGCATTCATAATTGGGTTTTTTTGTTTTTTTAGACGGAGTTTCACTCTTTTTGCGCAGGCTGGAGTGCAGTAGCACGATCTCAGCTCACTGCAACCTCCACTTCCCGGGTTCAAGTGATTCTCATACCTCAACCTCCCGAGTAGCTGGGATTACAGGTGCACACCACAACGCCAGGGTAATTTTGTATTTTTTAGTAGAGATGGGGTTTCACCTGTTGGCCAGGCTGGTCTTGAACTCCTGACATCAGGTGATACGCCCGCCTCGGCCTCCCAGAGTGCTGGAATTACAGGCATGAACCACCGCACCTGGCCCATAATTGTTTTTTCTTTAAATCAGAAATATTTCAAGTAAAAAGAATTCCTGCCCCTTCCCCACTCACGCTGCCATCCCAGAGGTAGCGCCTGTGAAGTTGGTGAATTTCCAGACCCCTTTTCAGTGTATTAAATTCTCACATTAATGTTGCTTAGATCTACCTAGATAAATATGTTTTTTGTGTTTTTTTTTTTTTTTTTGAGACGGAGTCTCGCTCTGTCGCCCAGGCTGGAGTGCAGTGGCCAGATCTCAGCTCACTGCAAGCTCCGCCTCCCGGGTTCACACCATTCTCCTGCCTCAGCCTCCCAAGTAGCTGGGATTACAGGCATGTGCCACCATGCCCGGCTAATTTTTGTATTTTTAGTAGAGATGGGGGTTTCACCATGTTGACCAGGCTGGTCTCAAACTCCTGACCTTGAGGTGAACTGCTCGCCTCAGCCTCCCAAAGTGCTAGGATTACAGGCGTGAGCCACCACATCCGGCCCCCAGCTTTAAAATTTTAAGGACAGCCGCTCCCCCTTTCTGAAGAATATGGAGCCTGCCTTTTTGGTCTTTCACTGGAGAACCAACTCAAAGGTTTCCTGAAAGTTTCTCCCATGTGGCTGAAATTCCTCATAAAAGATTTAATGAGCAAGTTTAACAACCTGAATTCTGTAACCCAACCTACCTTATATAAATTCATGGCCGACTTCAAAAGCATTGTGAGATAAGTTAGCTGCTGGCGTGACGTCCGTGTCAAGGGAAGAGGTGGGTTTTTATAACTCTGAGCATTGAGTTGATGGCCCCGTTTCAGAGAGTCATTTTGACTCTAAAAGCAGACTGTTTTGAGCCAACCGCCTGTTCTCGTCCTGCAGAGGGGCTTTGGTGGTTCAAGGTTCTCAGGAAGGGCAAAAGGAAGGGTTATTCCCGGGGTGTCACTTAGCAGGTGGTGGTCTGGACGGGAGCCTGCCGTGGTGAGGCAGGTTCTGCTTTAGGTGATCAGTTTCTAAAGCCGTGTGTCTGGACCCATTTGTGCTGCTGAGCTCTGTTACAAATCTCATGATCACTTCTGAGGCCTGTGAGCAAGGCCTCCCTCCTGTCTCTCTGCCCACAGACCTCTCCCCTCCAGTCTCAGGAGCAGGCAGCTGTTTCGCAGGCCCCGACACGGCATGGTTAAAGCCCCAGCGCCCTCACGCATGAAAAGCCGGTCTTGTTAGCCTCACATCTGTTCTGCAAAGCCACCTTCACATCCTTGTCTGCCTGCCTTCTGTTTTTTAGCTTTAATTTTGAAAAGCTTTAACACAGAAGAATTTATCTGTCCCTTTTATCTGGAGACCCCATTTAGCTTTCTCCGGTCGGCTCCATGAGTCCATTAGGAAAAAGGACTCAGACCCTGGTCCTACGTCACATACCTCCACTTTCATCAGGAACAGGTCTTCAGGCTTCCCTTGACTTTCATGACCTCGAGGATTACACGTCAGCTGTTGGGTAGAAGTCTGTCAGTTGGGGCCTGTCCAGTGTGTCCTGGTGGTGAGACCCAGGTGTGGCGTCTTGGATGAGAACGTCACAGAAGCCATGCACAGTACTCATTTGTCCCCTCACCAGCACGGAGTAGCTGTGACCTCGATCAGGGTGCTGTCTGCCAGGTTTCGCCACTGTAAACTTGCTTTCCCCTTTGTGCTGGATGGTTTCTGAGAGACACTTTAGACTCCGGGACTGTGTGTACCTTGTTGCACTCCTGCCCTCCAGTGCTCACTCCCAGTGATGTTTTCAAAGTGATGTTTCCTGCTGACAACTGCCCCATGGGATTCTCTTCCTTTTTTTTTTCCTTTTTGAGACAGAGTCTCGCTCTGTTGCCCAGGCTGGAGGGCAGTAGCACAATCTCGGCTCACTGCACCCTCTGCCTCCCAAGTTCGAGCGATTCTCGTGACCCACCCTCTCAAGTAGCTGGGAATGCCACCAGCCGTGGGATTCTGTGGGCACCATCCCTGCTGCGTTGATTAGTGGTGTTCCCTGGAAGGAGGAGCTTGCCTTCTCCCCACGTGTGTGTTGATTGATTGTGTCAACATGGACAGATGAGCTTCTGTTGGCATCAGTGGGTGACCGTCTGTAGTTACTGGTTTTTATTTAATGTTCAGATTGTCCCAGATTCGGCCAGTGGAAGCCCTGTCAGGCAGGTCCCCATTGTTGTTTTGAGCACTTACCTTACTTTGTCGCAACAGGAGTCTCCCAGCTCAGCTTCTTTTCTCATCCCAGTCCTGGAATCTGCATTTCTCAGAGGCACGCTGGTTCTTCACGGAGCATGGTCTTTAGAAACCGAGGTCTGAGTGCTTGGTGCGGCACTGCGATCTCACTGCCTCAGGTGTAGCCCTGCTTCTGGCCCTCTGCAGACAGAGCTGGGGACACATCTTTGTCCACATGATCTGTCACTCTGTCTACCTGCCGGCATGTGGAGATGACGCCAGGGGTACGTGGGTGCCTCCCTTGGTATATTCTGCCCCTCTTCTGGCACTAAGAAACTGGCACCCTCTGTCCTCCGCGCATCGGGCATCACCCCCTGCCCACCCCATGGCTGAGCCTCCTCCCCACTCTGCACCAGCGCCATCCATGCACAGACCATGCACACTCCAGCCAGGCCGCCTTCTCAGCATCTGATGGACACAGTCTCATTCCCATCCCTTCCCTGGTTAAATTGGGACTCCCTGGGGGGTAAGCATGGCTTCCCGCAGACATCACTTGGGGCTCTCTGAGGCAGGCGAAAAGCACCCTCAGACAGGGAGCCTGCTGGCTTCCCAGGAGGGCAAAGGCTGCCAGCGGGAGGGGTCCTCTTCCTCTCTGGAGTGATACACGTCCCTCAGAGACTGGTGCAGCATCCTCTAGGGCCCTCACCCCTTGGGTATGTGGCGGGCATCAGGTTCTGGCCATGATTCAGCAACTTGTGTTGTGAACTGTGTTGCGGAAGAAAGTTTCCGGAAGGAGAAGAGACCACCCTTGTTTTCATGGAGCAGGGCCTGTGACAGGGACCTCCAGAGTTTGGCTGCTCCTGGAGCGCACCTTGTCTGCCTGCAGCTCTGGAGAGGGCCAGCCTCTGGGCCCAGCACTAGTGGCAGGTCAGCAAGGATTATCCAAGCCTCCCACTTTGCCTGGCAGCTTGGGCCAGCTCCCAGGCTCCCCTCAGTGTTAGCGCCAGCTCTGCACAGAGCAGAGTGTGGAAGGGAGTGGAGTCAGTCTGTGGCCAAAACATCAGCATTGAGAGCCAGCTTGAAGAGCTTGCTAAAAATTATCTAAATTGTGAATTTGACCTTTTAACAATGTATCTAAATTGCCAGCCTTCTCCTGCATAGCTCCGTGCTTTGGAAATGTAATTGAGTGTTTCCTTCGGAAAAGGAACATCTGGTGGCTCACCCCGGCATCCTGCAGGATCTGGCTTTCCTGAGTTTGTTTTTATGACCATGTATTAGGGAGAGGCACCAGGTCTGCTAACACAGACTGCCAGAAGCCCCTGGGGCTGAACTGCTCCACACAACTATCATAGTAAGAAGGCTGCTGCGGTCCTCTTGCTGCCCAGGCACAGCGGCGCCTCCGGGGCGTGTCGGGAGAGGCGCCTTCCTTGGCCTGCTAAATCTTGATTTGATTTTGGGTCTGAAAATGTGGGCCGACAAGGCGTTTTGGGTTTTGTCGTCATCGTTTTAGTGTACAATTGAGTGGTTTTAGCGCATCCACAGAGTTGTGCGACCATCGTGATTAATTTTAGAACATTTCCATCCCAAAAAGAAACCTCATCCCCGTTAGTCACAGCGGGCCCCCAGCTCCCTCCCTGAGCCCTGGTAACAGCTCAGCGCCTTTCTGCCTAGTTGGACATTTCACAGAATTAGAATCAGATAGCATATGACTTTTGGGGGTGTCTTTCCATTGATTTACACCTTTAATTTCTTCCAACAATGGTTTTGTTTTGTTTGAGACAAGGTCTTGCTCTGTCACCCAGGCTGGAGTGCAGTGGTACAATCATAGCTCACTGCAGGCTCAAGTGATCTTCCCACCTCAGCCTCCTGAGTAGCTGGGACTACAGGCATGTACCACCATGCCTAGCTAAGTTTTTAATTTTTTGTAGAGTTAGGGTCTTGCTATGTTGCCCAGGCTGATCTCAAACTGTTGGGCTCATGCAGTCCTCCTGCCTCAGCCTCCCAAAGCTCTGGGATTACAGGCGTGAGCCACTGCAGCCAGCCCCAACATTATTTAATAGTTTTATTTTGTGAAATGTATTCCCAAGTGTTTTCTTTCTTTTGGTGTTACTGTAAATGGAATTATTTTCTTAATTTTGCTTTTGGGTCATTCACGGCTAGCGTTAGAAGCACAATTGATTTGTGTATATTGATCTTGTGTCCTGTAGCTTGACGGGGGGTGAAGCTTAGCATGAACGCAGGGCCACCTCCAGGAGCCATAATACCACAGTCTCTGTGCCTTGCCCAGGAACAGGCTTGCCTGCCTGAGTCACAGGCCCCTTATGACAATCCTTCCTGGTGTGGATCAGATTAGACCACCATCCCTACTCCCTGTATGGGCACAGTTGCCAAGACACACAGATGAAGGGGTCCATGTGGACAGGTGGCTGGGCGAGGCTGGGCTCTCGCGCCATCCTGGGAGCCCCTGAGCATTCGCCTTTCCCTCTAGCTTTGTGACCTTGTCAGCCCAAACTCCAGCCTGGGGGGAGCTGGCTCCCTCACTGAGACAGGAAGCTCGGCAGGCACATCTGGAAAGGAGAGGCAGGCGCACTGTCTGCCACCTTTGACCTTTTCACCATAAAAACCTGTCTCCCTTCCCAGACATCTGTAGTGGTGCCAAGGTTCTTCCTGGCCACAGATGCTTGCTCTGACGGACAAACCTTCTAGGAAAGGGAAGCAGGGCCTGGGCGCCTGTGTTCTGTGGCTCCCTGACATTCTCCAGGGCCAGGTGCAGGGCCGCTGAGCAGCTCAGCTCCTGAGCCCGCAGCAGGTCTCAGGCTGCTGGGAAGGCAGCTGATGCCCTGCCTGTCCCCGTGGTCAGCAGCTGGCCCAAGAGCTGTCGTTCCTCCTGCCCTTGCCTCTCCCTCCTCCAGGTGCCTTCCAGGCCTGCTGATCGGACGGGACTTCTATTGTAATTTGGAAATGTTCTCCCTGGTTCTCCAGGCCCGAGGTCACTGAGGCCAAGACCATAGTCCTGTCCTGCCCTTGCCCCCCAGGCCCAGCCGCCACCCAGGCAGGCCTGCTGTTGATCTTTTGTCTTGTGCTTTTAGAGGAAAGGAGCAGTGGCTTCCGGTTGAAGCCGCCGACGCTGATCCACGGCCAAGCCCCCAGCGCAGGTAGGTCACCCACCTCCCTGGGGCGGGGGGTGGCTTTCTGACGTTTTTCAGACCTCTGCTTGGCCAGACCAGGATACCACAGGCTCAGCTTGATTTCTAGAAAGTTCACTTGTAACCTGACCCATGAGCCCTGGAAAGTTCCTTTAAAGAGAGGCTGTCCAGCAGGGAGGTTGGGACCCTTGATTGTGAGCCTTGTGTGCTCAGAAAAGTGGGCGGTGGTTGCACGGGAGCATGCTAGGCTTGGGGTGCATCGGGCAGGCTCTGCGCCCAGCAGTAGCGCACTTGGTTCAGCCTGTCCTGCGTGTTCTGGCCCCCACATACCACAGTGTTCACCCCAGTTAGCAGGGTGGCTGTATTCCAGCGGCGCGCTGCTGGGGAGCCGGCTGCTAGTGAGGCTGCCAGGGATGCTGCACAGGGCAGGGCACGTGCAGGGGTCCTTGCCCTGTCTGCCTTTGGCAGAGGGACTTCTTCAGCATGGCTGTTTTGAAAAACAGGTGCAAAACGTGCCTGTACCTGACCCCACATCGAGTCCTCAGCCTCCGGGTAGCTGCCTGTGAATTCACTGCTCTCCCCTTAGTCTCCACCTGACCGTTGAGTCCAGCTCACAGAGAACAGCTGTCCCTCAACGCCCCACCACGCTACCATGCTAACTGGATTAATTCACAGATATCAGTTACTGGGAATTTCACTTAATCATATATAAAAATGCCAGATCTGTCCAGTTGTTAAAAAAAGACCTCAAGTTTTTTAAAAAGTGCTTCCCTGCAAAGTCTAGCCCACAAGGGGCGTGGAATGGGTTGTCTCTGAAGCGCCTGGGGGCAGGCAGGGGTCCACGGGCACTGGGAAGGCCACCTTCTGTTCCCAGGTCTGCCAAGCCAGAAGCCCAAGGAGCAGCAGCGGAGCGTGCTTCGCCCGGCAGTGTTACAGGCTCCGCAGCCAAAGGCACTGTCCCAGACTGGTAAGAAACGGCAGCCCTGGCGCCCAGGCCCAGACGGCAGGGTAGAGCGTTCCTGAAGTCGCACCCGGGACAGGAGTGTTGTGACAGAGGTGACTGCTGAATGCACCAGAAATACAGAGAGATCAGGGAAGATGATCCTTTAAATCACCCCCAACCCCAAGCCTCCCGAGCCCTAGCAACGGAGGAGTGAGAGGCGGTTCCACAGCTTCCTCACAGCTCTCGGCCGAGTGTGACTGTGTGGGTGAAACCTGCTTTGTTCATTCACAGTCTTCATAAAAGCAGGCCGGCTCCTGGGAATGAGATTTATCCCTGTGTGTTTACAGACAGAATTGCAGCCTCAGTTTTCACAGGTTATCTTTAAAAACTTGAAAGGTCATTTTTTTTTTAATTTTATATTTTTTATATATATATAGATGGGGTCTTGCTCTGTCACCCAGACTGGAGTGCATTGGTGCAGTCATAGCTCACTGCAGCCTCGAACTCCTGGGCTCAAGCGATCCTCCCACCTCAGCCACCCAAGTAGCTGGGACCACAAGTGTGCACCACCACACCCAGCTAATTTGTTTTATTTTATTTTAGAAATGGGGGCTTGCTCTGTTGCCCAGGCTGGTCTCAAACTCCTGGTCCCAAGCAGTCTTCCCGCTTCAGCCTCCCAAAGCACTGGGACCACAGGCATGAGCCACTGTGCTCGGCAGGTTTCTCTTGTTTTTTTTTTAATCCGAGAATTTTGACTCTTTGTAGAGATACCAGGTCCTTCCTTAAAAAGGAGACATGTGCTATGGGCTTTACCATGGGAGGGGCCCTAGACTAGACGTGGCCCAGCCCCTCAGCTACGTGAGTTGGGGTGGGAGGGCTGCCAAGCACCTGTGATTCCCCACTCTCCTTCCCTCCCACAGTCCCCAGCAGTGGCACCAACGGGGTCAGCCTCCTAGCAGACTGCACGGGGGCAGTGCCAGCAGCATCCCCTGACACTGTTGCACGGAGAAGTCCTTCTGAAGCTGCCGATGAGGTGTGTGCACTTGAGGTCAGTGGGTCCTGGGGCAGGGAAGTGCTGCGTGCTGGACCCCTGGGGAACGGGAGGGCAGCTTCCCAGCACGCTGTGGAGTCCACGCGCTGTCGCCTGTTCTGAGCAGTTTCCACGTAGGCCTGTTGTAAGGCTCTCTGGATTTGCTCAGTAGGCTCTGTGAATAACAGTAGCTGACAAACCAAATAACTAGATTCCCAAGGTGGTCTTGCTGAGTCAGTCTGAAGAAGTGTCTCCCAAGCAAGTTCTGCTGGAAGGGCCTGTTGCCCAAGGCTGACTGCCACGTGTCTCAAGGGAGTGATCCTTGAGGGAGGACCTGAACCACTGCACTCCGGGGAGTCACTAGGGCCTGAGGAACGGCTGTCGCTGTTGGGTGTCTTGCAACGTTTAACGTGAGGAATGTCTCCCCTCTCTTCGTCCACACCCACGCCATCCTCAGAGACTCCCATCTGTGTGGTTCCAGTTGAAAAATTTGCCTTGGGAGTCATCTCAGAAATAGTTCATTTAGGCCGGGCACAGTAGCTCACACCTGCAATCTCGGCACTTTGGGAAGCCGAGGCAGGTGAATTGCTTGAGGCCAGGAGTTCAAAACCACACTGGGCAACATAGCAAGACTCTGTCTCTACAAAAAATACGCAGATTAGCCAAGCATGGTAGCATGTACCTGTAGTCCCAGCTACTCAGGATGCTGAGGCTGGATGATTGCTTGAACCTGGGAAGGGGAGGCTGCAGTGAGCCGAGGTCACGCCACTGCATTCCACCCTGGGCGACAGAGCCAGACCCTGCCTTAAAAAAAAAAAAGAAATAGTTCTGTTTAAGTGGGATATGGATTGGATTATATGGGCCAAAAGTGGTGTTTCACAGCCACCGTGAAATAAGGGACGTTGATGAAGAGCCTCCTTTGAAGTTGGCAGAGATGGGTTTAAAGTCAGAGTTGGGGTAACACCACGTGATATCTTCCGTGTAAAAGCCAGATTGGATCTTTGTGTTTATTTTCCGCTCTGTGTCCATGGCCTGCGGTTTTATACCTCCCATCCCCAGTAGATGCTCTGGCTCAAAGGGTGAAAATAGCTCTCCACAATTAAATTTTAAAACATCCTCACGCCCTTTTTCAAACGAGTTTGCTGAATTGGAAATAGGGATCACTTCCATTGCATACTGCGGCTTGGAAGCTTTGACTGCTGAGGTCTGAGCAGATCAGATGTATGGTTCTGAGTTGGAGAAGGACTTAGAAGTGACCCAGCCCATCCCACCCTCTCCCACCCTGTCCCTGGCGGTGAGTGCACAGGCTGACCTGGCCACACCCACTACCGAGAGCTTGCCCCTCGCTGGAAAGGCCTTGCTCTGTCCCATCCCAGGGGACATAGTCCCTCTTCCTGCCGGTTTGAGCCCCTCCTCAACAGTGTATGCAGCTTGTTCCCAAATCGTTGAGCTCAGAAGTTGTGATGTGCCATCTTCCCTCCAGCAGACTGGCCAGCCCCAGTAGCTAATGTTGATCCTTGGACCCCATGGTCCACTGGCTGCCATTCCCAGCTCCTGCATCTGGCTCCAAAGCCACTGCTCCGTGTGGGTCCAGGATGGAGCCACGCAGCCACACCCACACTGCCCTCTGACCACACCCAGTGCTGTTGAGATTCGCCAGGCTCGCCATGTGTATCTTTCTCTGGCCCTGCAGCAGGAGCCCGAGCTTTTCCACGCCACCCACGAACATGACACACACTGCTCATCAGGAACGTGAGCTAAGTGAAGCATCTCCTCTAAGGAGGGCTTAGATGTTGGGGTGACCCATGGGGGAACTTCTGGTACTGTCTTTGGGAAAGTGGGGAAGAGGCTTCCCCTCCCGCCCCACACACACAGAGTCTAAGACTGGTTACAGGCCTCGGGATTCACTCATCAGTTTAAGCGAATCCTCTAAGCAGGCCCCGCCAGGTCATAGACATACGCTGTGGTCAGAAACATTTTGCTGTTTGCCTGCCCCCTCTCAGGTGACTCTGTGGGTTCCGCCCACCCGGGATTAGCAGCAGTCAGTGTGAGCAGGGGGCACACAGCACACAAAGCCAAGAGCCAGGGAGTGTTTCTGCCGGAAGTGCGTCCCCCCACCGTCTGCAGGCAGCCCCCGTGGGCCTGGGGATTAGCCCATCCTCTGAGGACTTCCAGGTCGCCAAACACGGTGTGTGTTTAATTTTTAAAAGCCACGTTCACTCTTGCACAGGCACAAGGATGCAGCATGAAGTCAGCAATAGCAGAATTTCTAGGGAGCACAGTAGAGAAACATTTAAACTCTTCACTTTCTTCACAGTTGGACCAGAAAGTGCCCTCAGTGCTGTGATTCGCTGATTCTGGGCCTGGCACTGTAACTCCAGGCTTCCCTGCCCGCTGGACACACTGAGGCAGTCAGAAGCTGCCTGCAGCCTTTCTCAGCTCCGAGTTCATGGTTGTCAGGGCCCTTCACAACATCTCCCAGGAAAACGCTCCCTGCCTCATGTTCGTGTCCACTGTACACATTCCCAGAGACCTACCAAAAAAGCCTTTTAAAATTTCTTTTCAAATTCTACACCTTTTTTATCATGTAGTGTAAGAAAGACATATACAAATTACTAGCAACTCCATATTCCATTATCTCAAGATAAATGCATTTGGTCTTAGGATATTTAGTTACAAAAGTCATGCCTGCATGTTGAAAATATTTACACAAAATGGAAATCCTAGAAAGTAACAAGTGGAAGCCACCCTCCAGCTGAGAGGTCCCCCGGTAACCTCCGTCAGTGGTTTGAATTCTCTCCCGGCTTATTTCCTGAGCATTCCTCCACCCACGCACACACACACCCCCCACACGTACCACATACACACACACCACACACGCACACCACACGCACACACACCACACACGCACACACACCACATACACATAACACACGCACACATACCACATGCACACACACATACCACACACACACACCACATACACATACCACACACACCACATACACAAAACACACACACGCCACACATACACACCACACACATACCCCCACACACACCACACACACACCACACATACCACACACCACATACACAACCACACACCACGTACATACCACACACCACACATACACGCACACACACCACACACACACAACCACACACACACCACATACACATAACACACGCACACGTAACACACACCACATACACATACCACACACACACCACATACACACCACACACCACATACACATATCACACACACCACATACACATACCACACACACACACCACACACCACATACACATATCACACACACATACACACCACACATACACACACCACACACACACCACACATACCACATGCACGCACACCACACACAAACCACACACACACCACATACATACCACGCACACACCACATACACATAACACACGCACACATAACACACACCACATACACATACCACACACACACCACACACCACATACACATATCACACACACCACATACACACCACACACCACATACACATATCACACACACCACATACACACCACATACACATACCACACACACACACCACACACCACATACACATATCACACACACCACATACACACCACACACCACATACACATAACACACACATACACACCACACGTACACACACCACACACACCCCCACACACACCACACATACTCCACACACAGCACACACACCACACACACACACACACGGCACCGGGTTTGCTTTAACACAAATGGAATCGCACTTCTGTGTCCCACAAGCTGCTCTCTTCTGTGATCCATGTATTGTGGGCATGTCAGAGGTCTACCTCCCTCTTGGTGGTAACAGCTGTGCTGTACTTTTTTTCTCCGTATTTTCTAGCGTAAATTATTTTGTTCCTCAGCTAATGATGAGCATCTAGGTTATTTCCTGTCCTCTGCCGGCACTGAGGCTTCTGCAGGGCACAGGTGTTTCTTTTTTGTTGTTTGGAGATAGCTTCTTGCTCTGTCACCCAGGCTGGAGTGCAGTGGTGTGATCTTAGCTCACTGCAACTCCCAGGCTCAAGCAGTCCTCCTGTCTCAGCCTCCCGAGTAGCTGGGACTGCAGGCACGTGCAGAGGAGACGCGTGGAGTGCATGATCTGGTGTGGAATTGCTGGGCATCCGTCTGGGCCAAGTGGGGCACTGGTTTTGATTACTCTGTTTTGTTTTTGTTTTTGATAGGAGAAAGAGCCCCAGAAAAATGAGTCCAGCAACGCCTCTGAAGAGGAAGCCTGCGAGAAAAAAGGCCCCGCCACACAGCAAGCCTTTGTATTCGGGCAGAACTTGAGGGACAGAGTTAAGGTATGTGAGCTGTTGAACCAGCTCATTGACTTTTTATGCCTTCCCCAGGTTCAACAGCAGGCAAGTCAGTAGATTTTCCATTTCACAGGGGAGGGGAAACATGGGACAAAGAAGGTGTTAGTGAGGCAGCCCCGTGGCTCCCGGCATAGTCAGCTGCTGGCGTGTGTGTGCTGGGCCCTGGCAGTTCCCCACCAGCGGCCCAGGCTTTGGAGCCCTCACCTGCAGTGGCTTCTCAAGTCAGAGTCCCTGGTACTCATGGTAGCAGGGGACAGGGGAGGTGACTGAACCTGCGGCCTCAGGCTTTCATAGCAGAAAAGAAAGACAGCATGGTCCAGTGCTCTCAGCTCTGCCCAGAGATTTCTGTTCCCGTATTTCAGGGCTTCTCCATTTCAACACTAGCAGCATTATGGCTGGACCATTCCTGGTTTCTGAGGAGTCACCCTGGACACTGCAGGGTGCTGAGCAGCATCACTGGCCTCCACCCACCCAATGCTCCTGACATCTGACAACCACAAATGTCCCCAGACGTGGCCAGTATTCCCTGTGGGGTAGAATCGCCCCCATTAAGAACTGTCACCTTTTTTTTTTTAAGTGGGGCAGGGTGGGGTGACGACACAGTCTTGGCTCCTGAAAAGGAGCAAAGCATCTGCCACCTCTTGGCTGCCCTCCAGGCATGTGGTCCTAGTTTGGAGACTGTGGGGTGGGGAGGGGCTGGCGGTAGTTGGGAACAGTGGCCCTGGACCATGCACTGGGACTCTAGGAAGACCAGGGTCAGCCAGCAGCACCTTTCTCAGCCACAGACGTGGAATGTGCTGCAGCATCTCTAGAAACTCCACTGGCCAGAAGTTTCTTTCAGAGCCCAAGAGGCGGCATCGGTGGCTATGTCTAGAGACATTTGTGGTTGTCACAACTGGGAGGTACTTCTGGAGGCCAGGGATGCCACTCCACCCGTCGCAGTGCCCAGGATAGCCACACCACAGGGAATGATCTGGGCCCAATGGCAATATGTCAGTAGTGTCGACGGGGAGGGCCCTCGAAATAGAAACCTCTCTAGCATGCAGAAAGGACCGGCTCACGTTTTCTGCTTTCCTTTCTGTTACTCACCGTCCAACAGAAGCCCAAGTTGAGAAGCATGGAAAGTTGATGTTGCTGTCGCCATGGCTTTAGGCAAAATAATGAGTCCCTCAGGGGCTGCTCCCTCCAAGGAGGAAAGGAGGGCAAGAGGCGGGGAAGGGCTTGGCCCGTGGAGCTCAGGCCCTGTGGAGTCTCTGCCTTGAGTCTGGGGAAATGGCTGCTTTGAATTTGGTGGGGTCGGCTTCTTGCAAAAGTCAGAGGCTTGCGTGCACTTCGCAGTCTCAGTCAAATCCCAGCCTCTCCTTCCAGGGCAAACGTGAGCCATGGATTCTTTTTTTTTCTTTGGACACAGAGCCTTGCTGTGCCATCCAGGCTGGAGTGCAGTGGCATGACCTCTGCTCACTGCAACCTCCACCTCCGGGGTTCAGGTGATTCTTCTGCCTCAGCCTCCCAAATATCTTGGATTACAGGCACCCACTGCCACACCTAGCTAATTTTTTGTATTTTTAGTAGAGGTGGGGTTTCTCCATGTTGGCCAGGCTGGTCTCGAATTACTGACCTCAAGTGATTTCCCCCCCAGCCTCAGCCTCCCAAAGTGCTGGGATTACAGGCATGAGCCACTGCGCCCAGCCAGAGCTGTGGTTTCTTAACCCTCTGAGCCTCTGCTTCCTTGTTGGTCCCTAACATCCCCCTCTCAGGCTTCATGAGGATTAAAGGAGATGGTGCATTTGACAGACTCAGCATAGCAACTGGTAGGAAAGAGGCCCTCAAGAAATGCTATTTCTATCATGTTCATAGTAAACCCCCCAAAACACCAACTTTGTAACATTGTGTTCTCCGTACAAAGCGTTGACCGAGAGGCCAGCTTAGGTGTGGTTTTATAACGAGATGGAAAAGGCTCCTTGAAGCCTCATGAGCTCTCTTTCCGTCTTAACTGTTAAAGCAAAAGGTGGTGGAGTTGATTACAGCCCTGCCCCCCAGCACGTGCACGTGCACACCCAGCCGGGTGCAGGAGAGGGCTCATGACTCCCGGCAGCTCCGTGCAGCTCAGGGGCTCTGCAGACACCACCCCAGCCCCCACCCCACCCCCGATTACTGAGCGCTTTGTCTCATTCCCAGCTGATCAATGAGAGCGTGGACGAAGCTGACATGGAGAATGCTGGACACCCCAGCGCAGACACGCCAACCGCAACGAACTATTTCCTCCAGTATATCAGTTCCAGGTGTGTGTCTTGGGCCCAGCGGCCAGCCTAGCATGGGGATGCAGGTGGCCGCAAGGGCTTCTGCCACAGAGGGATCTGTGGTCCCCGTGCCTGACTCAGACCCACAATCCAGGTTGCTCTTGGGCCTGTCTGTCATTCCCCACTCTGGGCACAACCGTGGGTGGGCCAGGATTGTAGGCCTTGTTCTGTGATTCACTGGACGCCTGAGACAGGACCAGAGTTCTGTGGGCTTGTCCAGGGGCCCATGGAGGATACAGCCCAGCCCTTGGAGTGTGCCCTCTGTCTTGCGGACCTCATGCCCAGAGCAGAACAGAGCAGGCTAGAGGCGACTCCTTATCCTGGGTTTGGGCACCTGGGGCAAAGACCTCAGCATGCCCTTGATTGACGTGGCTGGGGGTGATGCTACCCACGGCCCAGCTGCCCCTCCAGGTATCTCAGAAGAAAGCGTGTCCCGCCTGGGAGATGGGCGGGCGGAGCAGCTGGAAGGTGGCTTCCCTCATGCTGTGGGTCCCTCCGTCAGAGCGAGCTAAGGGCTCGTGTTTCCAACGGCACAGGGAGGCATGTGGCTTCCTGCCTCTGACACGCCACCCTGTGCACAGTAGGGGAGACCCCACCACTGTGCCCTCTGCGCCAGTGTGTGCTCCGTGGGTGCCCACACATTTGCCTAGCCACATTCCCACGTGACACCCCCACACTCACTGCACATCTTCTCTTCAGTTTAGAGAACTCAACCAATAGTGCCGACGCCTCCAGCAACAAATTTGTATTTGGCCAGAACATGAGCGAGCGAGTTTTGGTGAGTGGCCGTGTTGGGAATGTTCTTGGGGACCAGAGGTGCTCGGCACCAGCCCCAGATCGAGGGGACATGGAGAGCGGGGCTGCTGTGTTGTCCTTTGTGAGATGGGGATGGCTTCAGTAACAAGTGAGAGAGGGAAGACCCTGCTCAGACTTGGAGTGAAAACTGGCCGGGGCCACTGGCCGCCCAGGAGCTGGCATTCGCTCTTCCCAGCTCCTCCCTGCTGACCAGGGCCAGCTTCATCCCAAGATGGGCTTCCCCAGAGGCTGCAGGGCCCTGCTGGCAGTCAGAGTCCACGGTTCCTCCCCACCAGGCCAACTGACAAAAGTCGTGTGGGACAGGGCTGCCGGCCTCCCTGCTCCTGTGAGCATAACCGCGGCCAAGGCTTTGAGTGCAAGAAAGGCCCGTCTCCGTTCCCAGGAGCCCAGCCAGCCTGGGAGAGGGTTCTAGAATGGCTTGCCTACCTCTTTACATGTGTTCCTTTTCCTTCCTGATTCCACCCAGCTCCACTGTGACTGCGTGAGGGCCTGTCCTGAGCTGCCTGGTCACTCTAGCTGTCTTGAGTTATGCTGCATTAAGGACTCTGCAGCTTCTCTTCCTTTATGGCCACGCTGCCTTTTTTCTATTTCAATGAAATAGTCAAAGTCTTGCCTCACCCAAACGGAGTGTCCAGTGTGGTCCGAGGGGACTGTCGACTGGCGGCACTCACCCCCTGCTGATGCCTGAGGGACCACGTGGGGAGCTCCCAGGCAGTTCAGGGTGTCACCAGGAGCGGGCAGGAGTGCTGGGGGCAGCATGGTGTTGGGGGCCAGGCAGAGAGGTGCTCAGAGCTGCAGCTGAAGGACCGCACAAGCTCCCTCTTCCTTGTATGCCTGCAGAGCCCCCCAAAATTAAACGAGGTCAGTTCAGATGCCAACAGGGAAAATGCAGCTGTCGAGTCAGGGTCTGAGTCCTCGTCCCAGGAGGCCACCCCTGAGAAAGGTATGTTACCGTCTCGCCGCTGCATGGGGCTCATGGTAGGTCATCTTGGGGGATGATGAGGGGATGCTGGGTCCATTCACACCCCCAGCCGGGAGGGATAAGGGGCCCAACTCCCGCAGCAGTAACGACCACACGTCAACCAGCTACTAAGCCAGGGCCGTGACCTCCAGGGTCCTGCCTTGCAGTGAGCAGAGACAGGGGTTTATGATAAGACTGTTACTCGAGGGGCTGTGTCGCCTTGTGGCTGTGGGGAGGGTGGGGAGGCGCAGACAGCAGGCGTGGAGGAGTCCCTCACTGTCCCCCTGTCCTCTGCTCAGCAGGAACAGGAGAGTCTAGGGCCACACTTGGCCCCCAGATGGTCTCCCTGCAGCTTCCAAGACCGTGTGCCCTGGCTGTGTCTAGGGACCACTTGGGTTGCCAGGTCGGGCCTGCCAGGGGCAGCTGGCGTCCTTGAGACCAGAACCGACCCTCTCATCTCCTGTGAGCTGCATGCTCTCCCCTCGCCAAATAATTAGTCAGTCTTTTTGGCCAATAACTTTTCAGAGTCCCTGGCCGAGTCGGCAGCCGCCTACACCAAGGCAACAGCGCGGAAGTGTTTGTTGGAAAAAGTGGAAGTCATCACCGGGGAGGAGGCGGAGAGCAATGTGTTACAGGTGAGGGGCCAGCCCCTCTTCGATGGCCCTGGGTCTTCCATGCACCAAGGGCTGGGCACACATCCTCTGAGCACACAGGCCTACCCCTGAGATGACAGAGGGGCCACTGGCCCTACGCTCTGGGACTTTGTTGGTGGCGCTTGTAGAGAGCTTAGGCTCTCTCTGCAAGGGGTTTCTTGCATGTCTTTGGTTTCAGAGGAGGATGATCTGTTTGAGACACTCTTTTGTTTTAAATTTTTTTGAGACAGGGTCTTACTCTGTCATCCAGGCTGGAGTGCAGTGGCACGATCTTGGCTCACTGCAACCTCTGCTTCCTGGGTTCAAGGGATTCTCGTGCCTCAGTCTCCTGAGTAGCTGGGATTACAGGGGTGCACCACCACACCCGGCTAATTTTGGTATTTTAGTAGAGATGGGTTTCACCCTGTTGGCCAGGCTGGTCTTGAACTCCTGACCTCATGTGATCCTCCCGCCTTGGCCTCCCAAAGTGCTGGATTACAGGCGTGAGCTCCCGCACCCAGCCTGAAACATTCTTGATGGTTCAGGGAATGACAAAGACTGTCATAACAAACATCTCTTGTAACCCACAGCTAACTGTATTTGTCACCTGACATCCTGTGGTGTCTTCGTAGGGAAAAAAATCAGGTGCAGCCAGAGCTTCCATCCCACTGTCCCCTGTTGGCATCCCCCATCCCCTTCTCCTGAGGCCACACCACCCAGGTTGGGCAGCATCCATCTGCTTCCTCTCCTGTGGCACATAAGCATGTGTCTGTGTCTGTAAACCAGGTGGCGTATTGTGGGGTTTTTAAGAACACTGCTTTTTTTTTCCCCACTTACATTTTGTAATCTGTTCATGTTGAAAGAGATTGACTTAGCGGGTATGTGGAAAGCCATGTAGGGGTGTCTGTCTCGTATTTTTCTTTGTTTATATATACACAACCGCTGTATTGAAATAGAGTACACATGCTATATAATCCACCCTTTTAAAGCATACAATTCCATGGTTTCTAGTATAGTCACAGAGTCAGACAACTTTCACCACAATCTAATGTACATTTTTGCCCCCAAAAAGAACACTGTCCCATTCCCCCAGAAAGAGCATTGTCCGTTCACAGTCACTCCTCCTCCCTCCCCAGCCCCTGGCAGCCACAAATCCACTTCCTGTCTCTGTTTTTTGCCTGTCCTTGACATTTCATATAAATGGCGTCAGTGCACTTATGTGGCCTTTCGTGTCTGGCTTCTCTCACTGAGCCAGGGGTTCATCCACCTTGTGGCAGGGGTTGGAGCCTGATTCTTCCTTAAGACTGAGTGAGATGCACTGTGGGGACAGGCCACATGTGTCCGTCCATTGCTCCTTGAGGCTGGGCTATGGCGAATGTGCGCGTTCATGTGCGATCTGTGTGTGAACACGAACAGATGTTCCATTTCTCTTGGGTACATACCGAGGAATGGAATTGCCCGAGCATGTGGTAATTCCTTGTTGAGCACTTTGAGGAGCCGCCAGACTCTCTTTCACAGCAGTGGCACCGTGCGGCCTTCCCACCGGCAGTGTGTGAGGGTTCCAGCTTCCCCCCGTGGGTACAGCCATCCTAGAGTGCGCAGAGAGGTTTCTCACTGTTGTTTTGCTTTTCATTTCCTTAGTGATTCTTTTAATTTCCGATATCCCTTTTAGAACGTAAAGCCTGTTCTAGCTTGAGGGCAGGACAAAAACACTGACCAAGGTGGCCCCCAGGCCATCACTGGCCAGCTCTGGCAGTCCACACAGGCTAAAGGGCGACTCTCAGGGTGTGGCTGCAGCAGGACACCAGCTGGGGTCCCTGCTCACCGGCGGCTACTGTGTTCCAGATGCAGTGCAAGCTGTTTGTCTTCGACAAGACCTCACAGTCCTGGGTGGAGAGAGGCCGGGGGCTGCTCAGACTCAATGACATGGCATCCACGGACGACGGCACGCTACAGTCCCGACTAGGTGAGCTGCAGAGGGCTGGGCTGTGGCCACAGGAGGACTGGGGACTGTGCAATTCCAAAGGGAACGAAGCTGGGGAGATCCTGACCCTACCCTTGTGAGAGTCAAGGCACAGAGTCGGTCCCCCATGAGAGCTGCCCCCCAAACCCACTCCCTGCTCACAGCCCTCAACACCACCCTCGCACACTGGCTCCAGCTGCCAGCTTGTCCGTGACTCTCTTAGTGTCAAAATGGACAAAAGTCTATGGAAGTTTTTAAACTGATTTTCTGACAGTGAAAGTGGCAGGTTTATGATAGAAAGGAAAACAAAATCAAACATCAAGTCTAATCTCTTGATAAAGAGAAATTTTGGCCGGGCACGGTGGCTCACACCTGTAATCCCAGCACTTTGGGAGGCCGAGGTGGGCAGATCACCTGCGGTCAGGAGTTCAAGACCAGCCTGGCCAACATGGCGAAACCCTGTCTCTACTAAAAATACAAAAATTAGGCGGGCGTGGTGATAGATGTCTGTAATCCCAGCTACTCGGGCAGGCTGAGGCAGGAGAATTGCTTGAACCTGAGAGGCAGAGGTTGCAGTGAGCCAAGATTGAGCCACTGCACTCTAGCCTGAGCGACAGACCGAGACTCTATCTCAAAAAAAATAAAGTATACTGTTTTTGAAAAACTTTTATGTTAATATTCTACTGACAGTTAATGGACTTTTCCCTATTGGACGTTTAGCTTGGAGTACCTGCATACACACACCCACTTAGGGAAATCAGCCCGTGTGTGCACATTTGAAATGTGGGCGTGTCCTTTTTTTCCTTCTAAAAGTGATTTCACTCCATCACCCAGGCTGGAGTGCAGTGGCGTGATCGTCGCCTCAAATTCCTGGGCTCAAGTGATCCTCTCACCTCAGCCTCCTGAGTAGCTGGGACTACAGACGCACACCACCACGTCTGGCTGATTTTTTATTTTTGTCTTTGTAGAGATGGGGTCTCCCTGTGTTGCCCAGCCTGGTCTTGAGCTCCTGGCCTCAAACAGTCCTCCCACCTCAGCCTCCCAAAGCGCTGGAATTACAGGCGTGAGCCACTGCGCCGGGACCATCTTTTTGTTTCATCTTTCTGAGTCAAAGCGTCTTCTGGCCTTTTCATAAATACGGGTTTCAGGCCCAGCAGTAACTCAGATGGCCTCCTTGAAGGGTAGTGTTCATGTACTTCGATCAGAAACACTGCCCTAGTAAGAACAGACGGGTGTCCCTGCAGGCTGGGACTGCTCTTTTGTTCCCCATGGATGTCTTTTTTTTTTTTTGAGACGGAGTTTCACTCTTGTTGCCCAGGCTGGAGTGCAGTGGCGCAATCTCGGCTCACTGCAACCTCCGCCTCCCAGGTTCAAGCGATTCTCCTGCCTCAGCCTCCCGAGCAGCTGGGATTATAGGCGCCCACCACCAAGCCTGGCTAATTGTTTTATACTTTGAGTAGAGACAGGGTTTCTTTTTTTTTTTTTTGAAACGGAGTCTCGCTCTGCCGCCCAGGCTGGAGTGCAGTGGCATGATCTCGGCTCACTGCAAGCTCCACCTCCCGGGCTCACGTCATTCTCCTGCCTCAGCCTCCCGAGCAGCTGGGACCACAGGCACCCGCCACCGCGCCCGGCTAATTTTTTTTTTTTGTATTTTTAGTAGAGACGGGGTTTCACTGTGGTCTCGATCTCCTGACCTTGTGATCCGCCCGCCTCGGCCTCCCAAAGTGCTGGGATTACAGGCGTGAGCCACCGCGCCCGGCCGAGACAGGGTTTCTCCACATCGGTCAGGCTTGTCTCAAAACCTCTGACCTCAGGTGATCCACCCACCTTGGCCTCCCAGATTACAGGCATAAGCCACCGTGCCCGGCCTTATGGACATCTTGTGTTTTTCCTTTTGTCTCGTGGAAATGTTCAAATGTCAGTGGAAGGAGAGGGCATAGAGCGCTGAGCCCCCAGGTCCTCCCCTTTGCCTGGGTCATCAGCCTGTCGCCCCGTGGCAGCAGTGCCCTCCCCACCCTCAGGGAGAGCAGAGTCACCCCTGTCTTTCTCGCACTCAGCCTCTGAGGTGGGCACCTGGGCTCAGGGAGATCTGTTTGCTGAGCCGGGGCAGGGGGACAAGTTTCCGACCCTCTCCAGGCCTGCTCCAGTGGGGAGAGACGGCCGGCAGGAAGACAGGGGCTTGGCAGAGTCCGTGGGGTGGGCCCAGGCCTGGTGCGGGGCTGTTCCATCCTCTAGAGAGTCAGGGCCCTCCCATTTCCCTCCGTAATCTGCTGCCCTCGGTCCTCTTGTCCCCTCTCCATGGAAGCGCTAAGCTGTGGTCCTACCCTGCCTTCTCCTAAGGAATCCGGAGGCAGGGCTGGCCCACTTGGGGGAGGCCAGTCAGGAGGGCGTGGACTCCCACGGAGGCCGATGTCTCACAACACAGGAAGCGCACACACCTTGAGTGTCAGTCCCTGCCTCCCGCAGCCCACCCTGTGCTCGTCTCATCCCCCCTTCTCCATGGGAACTGCCATCCTGGTGCCCCCCTGTGTGGACCAAACACAACCTCCCACAAACTGCATGTGGCCTCTGGCCACTAATCTGCAGCACCAGCCTGTGCGGCCACCCACAGTTGTGGCCTTCAGTGGTCCGGCTAGGGGAGGAGGAGCCCCGCCCCGGGAGCAGGTGTGCCAGGGCTGGCCTCAGGAGAAGTCTTGCTCTGTGGGTAGGTCCTGGGAGGATCATGGGCTTTTGCGCGGTGATGTTGCTTTCCCTCTGGACTGTGTTGGCTCTCAGAGCTGCCTGTTTGGGAGGTGGCCGGGGTGGGGGCCAGGGCTGAGTGGCCTTGCTGGTTGCAGTGATGCGGACCCAAGGGAGCCTGCGACTGATCCTCAACACCAAGCTCTGGGCCCAGATGCAGATCGACAAGGCCAGCGAGAAGAGCATCCGCATCACAGCCATGGACACCGAGGACCAGGGCGTGAAGGTTTTCCTGATCTCGGTGAGCCAGCCACGCGGGTGCATCTGGGGCCCCTCATCCCGCCGGCCATGTGGGGGTTCCTGGGCACACAGATAAGCAGGACGGTGGGGAGGGGAGCAGGGAGGGGCCTCAGGTGCTGCCTGGGACACCAGAAGCACTATGGGACCTGCCAGTCCCAGCCTTCAGGAATAGAGATCATGGTCCTCGTCCTCTTCTCACCCCAGAGAAGCCGCTGGGGTTTGGCTGAGGGGTTGTGATGTGTTCAACGCTAAAAGCCCTGTGGGGTGGTCACCTCTGTCCTGTGTCATGGTGTCACAGTCGAGTCCACCAACCCTGACCTCTGGGATACTCCCAGCCACCTGGGAGTGGTGGCATCCTTTCAGGGAGAGGCCGGCAGGCCCAGGGCCCGGGGCCGGTGGCCTCCCCACAAGGCCTTGTGGCAGTGTCACCTCTGAACCTTGGGACTTGGCACTTGTGTTCTGCAGAAGACAGGAGAGGGTAGGACTGGGGTCCGGGGGTCTCATACCCTCCTCCCGTCCCAGGCCAGCTCCAAGGACACGGGTCAGCTGTACGCAGCCCTGCACCACCGCATCCTGGCCCTGCGCAGCCGTGTGGAGCAGGAGCAGGAGGCCAAGATGCCCGTGCCTGAACCTGGGGCAGCCCCGTCCAATGAGGAGGATGACAGCGACGATGACGATGTCCTGGCTCCTTCAGGGGCCACCGCAGCTGGTGAGTCTGGTGGTCCCTACCCTGGGGGGATAAAAGGAGCTGCCCACCATCCTTGATCCAGTGCTGATCTCCTGGCAGGGGTGGCCAGACCTGGGAAGTGCGGGCTCCATCCTGACGCAGGGCTGCTGCTTCCCTGCAGGTGCTGGTGACGAAGGGGACGGGCAGACGACCGGGAGCACATAGCGGCCGGGAGCCCGGCTGCACACCAGGCTGCTGCTTTGTCCGTCTGTCCGCCCGCCCACCCGCCCCCACCCCGCAGGCAGCGTCCAGGTGCGGGGCCAGGAACCACACACCCCGCTGGGCCGGCCACAGTCTGGACCCGCACGTCCTGTTCAAAAGCAGACTCGGGAACTGCCTGAATGTGGTTTGGGACATGAGACCTCATCATATTGATGAGCGAAACAAACAAGAACATTTCCTCCCTCCCCTCCTTCGAATTGAAATGGCACATTAAGACTTGTCACGGCTTCTCACTGGGACTGGAGACCTCGTTCCTTCACCCTGCGTGTCGCCAGCCTCTGGGTCCAGCCAGAGCCCCTGGCTTCTCCGCTGCCCACGCCCTTCCCTCCCTGCTGCGGGGCCCCGCCCTTGTGGGGAGCAGCTGGCCCTCTGCCCCTGCCTGGGGCTCCCCGACTACAGTCCTGGGACCCCCGCCCAGCCTGGGGACTGCTCTGAGTGTAGACACTGGGCCCATTGGACATGCTGTTAACTACTATCTTCATTTCCCACTTCCCCTCTCTGATTGGGGGTGTATATTTTACATCTGTTTTTCTTTTTATTTTCAAAGGCTTTGTTTTGGTTTCTTAGGTTAAGATGCTCTCAAGCGTTGAGCAGGCACAGCTCCGTTGAGGTCCCTGTCCCCCACCTGTGGTTCTGGCCTCTGAGGTTGGGGGGTCACTTGTTTCCCACCCCAGGTACCTCCAGGCTGAGTCACAGGGTGATGAGGAGTTGGGGCCCTGTCTGTCCTAGGCCTGGAGAGTGCCTATCTAGGAAAAGGTCACTGGACCTGGAAGGGTCCCCAGGGTCCCCTGACTCCTGTCTCCATCTGTCACGTGGTTCACCATCATCAGGCACCAGGCGCAAACTGCTTCCGCTGTTGGCCATCCCTTCCCCAGCCGCAGGTGTCACTGCCCCCAGGACTGTCCAGGGCCGGGGCCTCTGAGAGGCAGAGGGGTATCCTCACCAGGTCCTGGTGGAAGAGCCAGGGGGCTGGTCCCAGAATAGGCGGTCTCACAAGCACGCAGCACACTGGAGTGGACGCCTGTGCCCACCTGACCCTGGGGTGTGGCCAAGAGCCAGCTGGCACCACCCACCCAGGGAGGCTGAGGAGGAGGTCCCCTGGGCACAGGGCCTCTTTGGGACTTCAGAGGAAATCTCCCAGCCCCACCCTCGGAGGGTTAAGAGAAGACCTCCTGCAGCTGTGCCGCCCACACCTCTAGGTCGCCAGAGCCCTGGCCCACAACCCCCAGCAAGCCTGAGCCAGGGAAGAACCAGAGGCCCTCCCGAGAGACCCAGTCACACGTCTCTGCTTTAAGCCTTAGCCAGCTAGTGACGAGTACAACGAGATAACGCCCATGTGTTTTGGAACATTTATGTAAGATTGTCATATGAAATGTATTTGGGAACTACATTAAACTTTTAACTAAAACCCCGACCTCTGCATGCGCCAGGGGCCTCAGGAAGCCCTTGACCAGGAATGGCCTCCACCTCCCCAGGCCAGGACCTCCGGCAGCCTGGGGCCTCATGCTCCCACCCCACGTGTCACCAGCACTGGAATCCAGCCACAGCCCTGGTCTCTCCACCGCCCCCCACACTTTACCCCCAACCCTCCTGCAGGTCTTCCGCCCCCGCCCAGGGCTCCCAGCCTCGGGCTGCTCATGAGAGTGTAGACACGGGGCTCGCTGGACATGTGAACTACTATTTTATTCCCCATTGCCATCTTCTGATTGGGGGTTGATGTTTTACAGATGTTTTTTTCAAAGGCTTTTTTTTTTGTTTCTGAGGTTAGGATGCCCCCTTGCCCCTCACTCCACACCTGGGCAGGTCCAGACTGCCTTCCAGGATAGCCTCCACACACCGCCTCCCACCTGGGCTTGCCTGGCTTCCTGGGGGACGCGCAAGGGAGGGGTGGGGAGCAGCAGGCCGGGTGGGGGGATCAGGGGACCTTGGCGGGGGCATCCGCAGGGGCTGCAAGGCCTCAGGTCAGCATGGCGTGGGTGGGGACAGCTTTTCTCCCTGGGGTCCTGAGCCAGTGACTCGTGTTAGGACCTTTGTCCCTCCTCCCCCTGGTGGCCCAGCAGGGACCTGGTCTAGCCGGTCCTGCAGCCTCCATTCCCCCACCTGCCCCTCCCCGCTCTGTGGTGTGGCTGCCCAGAAGAGAAGAGGCCCAGGGAAGGGAGGTCTCCAGCGGGGGTGGGGGTGACAGGCCGGGGCAGCAGGGCTGAGCCCAGAGCTGCTCACAGCTGCCAGGCACTGGTCATCATGGCCACGAACTCCTCATCTGTGTTCATGGAGGCACTCACGCCGCTGTAGTAGTCCCGGAATTCCGCCAGCGTGACCTGGGAACGGAGGGCCATGAGGGGGCGGCCCAGGAACTGCCTGGGGAGGGGACCCCCTGCGCAGACACCCACCTGCCCGTCCTTCTCAGAGGAGTCGAAGTTGTCCAGGAAGCGGCGCAGCACCTTGTCCTCGGTCCACTCCCCACTGCGCACCTTGGGGTGGGCACGGCCACTGTACACCCCGCGGAGGTCGTCCACTGTCACTACGCCGTCCCCACTGCGGTCCAGCTTGGCAAATGCAGCTGCGATGACTGCCTCCCGGGCCTGGGACATGGGGGGCTAGGACAGGAGGTGGTGACTTGGGGTGCTGGGTAGCAGACCCAAACCCCCAAGACACTGCAGAGCACCGGGGCTGTCACCCCAGCAGGCGCCTCTTAGCAGCTCTTGGGGAGGAGTCCCCTGTCTCCACATCTCAGCATCCTCTGTCGCCTCACGCCCAGGGCACACGCCTTGACTGCGAGGTGGGGGCTCACCCGCAGCGCCCGAAGGAACTCCTCCAGATCCAGCGTCCCGCTGCCGTCGCGGTCCCACCTCCTGCACACACCCTCTGCCTCCGCCTGGTCCAGCACCAGCCCGAGTTTGGCCAGACCCCGCCCGAACTCGTCAGCATCCAGGGATCTGCTCCCGTCCCGGTCTAGTTGGCGGAAAAACCTGGGGACAGGGGACACGGTTGGAACAGTGGTTTCAGGGGCCAGAGTCAGGAAGGCGAGAGGGGACAGCTCACCTGGCCAGGCCCTGGATGCCCGAGGCCCCGCGGGACAGGCACTGCGCCCGGAGTTTCTCCATGGTGGCGTCCACAGCGTCCATGCTGGGTCTGGGCTCTCTGGGCAGCTGGAAGGGGGAGAGGTCAAGGTGGGGACTCCCGCAAGCCCACCCTGGCCAACTGCCCCTTGTTCAGACGCTCTCACCTGGCCTGCGTCTGTCCCAGAGTCCTGCCTGCCCGGCCTTCTGTTAGCTGTGTCGTGCCTGGGGAGACTGTTGCTAGCAGGAGGTGCCTCTGGAGACGGGGCGGGACCCAGCTGCATGAATGCACTGTGCTGGCGGACAGTGGATGGGGGGGAGAAGGGAGGGGAGGGGAGGGGAAGGGGAGGGATGGGTGCACCCAGCCTGACTGCTTACTCAACTGCCAGCCCCACAGGGCCTGGGACACAGCCAGATCCCTGTGGCATTGCATCCCTTCCTGGCTGCAAGGAGGAGGGGCAGGCCATTGCCCTGCAGGGGATGCAATGCCCTGGGTGGAGGGAGACAAGTCCGTGGTTGGGGAGGCTTGAGGCATGATTCCCGTGTGACCCTGGTCAGGTCCCTTCACTTCTCTGGGCTTCATGGGGGCTTCTCAGCCCCAGCCAGGGCTGACAAAATTGCTGAGGAATCAAAGTTCAAAAAGGGCCCCCAGGTTCTGACCGGCCACAGCGGCTCATGCCTGCAATCCCAGCACTTTGGGAGGTCTAGGTGGGAGGATCACTTGAGCCCAGGAGTTTGGACCAGCCTGCGGAACATAGAGAGACCCTGTTTCTATTGTACAACAACAAAGCCCCAGGTGGGCCGGGCACGGTGGCTCACACCTGTAATCCCAGCACTGTGGGAGGCCGAGGTGGGCAGAGCACAAGGTCAGGAGTTCGAGACCAGCCTGACCAACGTGGTGAAACCCCGTCTCTACTAAAAAATACAAAAATTAGCTGGGCATGGTGGTGGGCGCCTGTAATTCCAGCTACTCAGGAAGCTGAGGCAGGAGAATCTCTTGAACCCAGGAGGTGGAGGTTGCAGTGAGCCAAGATCACACCACTGCACTCTGGCCTGGGCGACAGAGCAAGACTCCATCTCAAAAAGAAAAAAAAAAAATAAAGCCCCAGATCCTGGGGCCCCAAGACCTCCTGCCCAGGCCCACCTCCAAGGGCAGGTGCTGCAACCCCACAGGGACTGAACTGAGCATGAGGGACACCTCTGCTCACTGCCCCACAAGGCTTGTCACTGGCGGTCATTAGAAGCCAGTCCCAGGACTTCTGTCTTTACAGATGTTTTGCTGTTGGTTTTCAGGCCTGAAATGTGACTTAGTGGGCTCGCTCCTGACAAGGTGGTGAGCCAGAGGTCGTGACCCCAAGTGGAGGAGCAGCCCTGATCCCGGACATAAACCTCAAGGGACGCAGCCACCTCACCGAAGGCCTTCAACAGAGACGTCGGATATACCTGCCCGCTAAGGTGGGTGGGTTTCCCAGGACTTGCAACATGGGCCCTGTTTGGGGACCCACTGTTCCCCCAGAACTAAGGATCATCAATCGGAGCCTTCTCCAAGCCTGGCCTTACCTCGCCCACAGCGCAATTATATTGTCAGAAGTTGCCTTGCCTGAGCACAGTGGCTCATGCCTATAATCCTAACACTTTGGGAATCCAGGGCAGGAAGATCACTTGAGCCCAGGAGTTTGAGTCCAGCCTGTGCAACATAGTGAGACCCCCCCATCTCTACAAAAAACACAAAAAATTAGCCAGGCATGGTGGTGTGTTCCTGTAATCCCACTTACTCGGGAGGCTGAGGCAGGAGGATCGCTTGAGCCTGGGAGTTGGAGGCTGCAGTGAGCTATGATTGCACCACTGCACTCCAGCCTGGGTTACAGAGCAAGACCCCGCCTCTTAAAAAATAAATAAACTGGCCAGGCACGGTGGCTCACGCCTGTAATCCCAGCACTTTGAGAGGCCGAGTCGGGCAGATCATGAGGTCAGCAGTTTAAGACCAGCCTGGCCAACATGGTGAAACCCTGTCTCTACTATAAACACAAAAATTAGCCAGACACGGTGGCTAACGCCTGTAATCACAGCACTTTGGGAGGCCAAGGCGGGCAGATCATGAGGTCAGCAGTTTGAGACCAGCCTGGCCAACATGGTGAAACCCCATCTCTACTAAAAATACAAAATTAGCTGGGCGTGGTGGTACACGCCTATAGTCCCAGCTACTCGGGAGGCTGAGGCAGGAGAATTGCTTGAACCTGAGAGGCAGAGGTTGCAGGGAGCCGAGATCGCGCCATTGCACTCCAGACTGGGGGACAGGAGCAAGACTTGTACCAAAAAAAAAAAAAAAAAACAGGCACGGTGGCGGGTGCCTGTAATCCCAGCTACTCTGGAGGCTGAGGCAAAAGAATCACTTGAACCTGGGAGGCAGAGGTTGCAGTGAACCAAGACCACACCACTGCACCCCAGCCTGGGCAACAGAGTGAGACTCTGTCTCAATAAATAAATAAATAACTTAAAAAAGAGGTCAGGCACAGTGGCTCATGCCTGTAATCCCAGCACTTTGGGAGGCCGAGGCGGGTGGATCACTTGAGGTCAGGAGTTCAAGACCAGCCTGGCCAACATGGTGAAACCCCATCCCTACTAAAAAATAATAATAATAGGCCGGGTGCGATTGGCTCAAGCCTGTAATCCCAGCACTTTGGGAGGCCGAGACGGGCGGATCACGAGGTCAGGATATCAAGACCATCCTGGCTAACACGGTGAAACCCCGTCTCTACTAAAAAATACAAAAAACTAGCCGGGCGAGGTGGCAGGCACCTGTAGTCCCAGCTACTCGGGAGGCTGAGGCAGGAGAATGGCGTGAACCCGGGAGGCGGAGCTTGCAGTGAGCTGAGATCCGGCCACTGCACTCCAGCCCAGGTGACAGAGGGAGACTCCGTCTCAAAAAAAAAAAATAATAATAATGATAATAAATAGCTGGGCATGGTGGTGCATGCCTGTAATCCCAGCTACTTGGGAGGCTGAGGCAGGAGAATCACTTAAACCCTGGAGGTGGAGGTTGCAGTGAGCCAAGATCATACTCCAGCCTGGGTGGCAGAGCGGCATAGCCAGACTCCGTCTTAAAAAAAAAAAAAGAGGTTGCCTTTGGAGTCTGAAACCAATCTGTAGGTTACAGGCAACCCAGCATCTTGATTCAAGCCACCACTGATGTAACATCATCAGTTTTATGAGAAACCATGGTGACATCTGGCTGCCAAAATCCTGAGGGCTCACTGCAATCCAGAATTATTTAAATAGAGAAATACTTTTATGTCTATGAGTGTTACAAGCAGCACTTTTTTTTTTTTTTTTTTTGTCTGTGTAGAGAACCATAAAATATAACCACTATTATTGAAGTGCTGTTTTGGCATCTCATTTTTACATGTTTAGTAAGAATTTCTTGGGAGGTCAATGCAGGAGGATCACTTGAGGCCAGGAGTTCAAGACCAGCCTGGGCAATGTAATGAGACCTTATCTCTAGAAAAAATGCAAAAAATTCAGCGACGCATGGTGGCATATGCCTGCAGTCCCAGCTACTTGGCAGGCTGAGGTGGCAGGATAGCTTGAGCCCAGGATTTTTTTTTTTTTTTTTTTTTTTTTAGAGGGAGTCTCCCTCTGTCACCCAAGCTGGAGTGCAGTGGCGCAATCTCGGCTTACTACAGCCTCCATCTCCCGGGTTCAAGTAATTCTCCTGTCTCAGACTCCCGAGTAGCTGGGATTACAGGCATGCGCCACCACACCCAGTTAATTTTTGCATTTTTTGTAGAAACGGAGTTTCACCATGTTGGCCAGGCTGGTCTCAAACTCCTGGCCTCAGGTGATCCACCTGCCTTGGCCTCCCGAAGTGCTGAGATTATAGGTGTGAGCCACTGTGCCCGGCCGAACCCAGGATTTTGAGGCTGCAGTGAGTTGTGATCACACCATTGCACTCCAGCCTGGGCAACAGTGAGACTTTTGTCTCTTTAAAAACAAAAAGAAAATAGAATTTGAGCAATAACTTCCCCCAAAATTGAAAAGTGGCCCTGGCCCTCCAGACCTGGAGTGTGTTCCCTTCACACCTCTGGGCCTCTGGTTTTTTTTGTTGTTGTTGTTGCTGTTATTGTTTTTTGTTTTTTCTCTGAGACCGAGTCTCACTCTGTTGCCCAGGCTGGAGTGCAGTGGTGCGATCTCCACTCAGTGCAGCCTCCGCCTCCCCGGTTCAAGCAATTCTTCTTGAGTAGCTGGGATTACAGGTGCCCGCCACCACACCTGGCTAATTTCAGTATTTTTAGGAGAGACGGGATTTCACCATGTTGGCCAGGCTGGTCTCGAACTCCTGACCTCGGGTGATCCACCCATCTCAGCCTCCCAAAGTGTTGGGATTACAGGCCTGAGCCCCACACCTGGCCTGGGCCTCACTTTCCACAGCTGTAAAATGAGGACAAAGCCTATGTCTACAGGGAACTCGAAGATTAGACGCAATCTGTGTAGAGAGTGCTTTGCGCACGCTCCCTAGATTCTACCTGGCCCAGCAGGACCCTACCATGAGGCACAGATAACACAGAGGGCCTCCCTCTTGCCCCCAAGCCAGGATGAAAGGATGAAGGACCCAGGCCAGGAAATCATCCGGTTTATTCTTGAGCACAGACAGGCCCCAGCCTGCCTTTCCTTTTACAAACAACCCCCCTCCTTGTTCATCCAGAGGAGAAAATGGGCCCATTGTCACTGCACTGAGGGGTCACTGTTGCCAGGCAGGCAGGCGGGCGCCATCCTGAGGGCCGTGGGTGGCCTCTGACCTTTCTGGTCTGAAACAGGCTGTGCCCCTCGGCGGTTCCTGGTGTGACAGTTCCCTGAGTGAGGAGGTGGGGGAATGGCTGGCCCCGAAAGGCACAGGAGTTTTCTCCTTTCCCTGGTTTGACAACAAGTAAAGCACCTTGAATGTCTTGGACTAAGAAGGACAGCGCAGAAACAAGGAGTTCAAAAATAGATTCTTTAGGGCGTATAAAAAGGAGACAGTTGCGTGCTACAAAAGCTAGGCTAGGGCCGGGCACGGTGGCTTACCCCTATAATCGCAGTACTTTTGAAGGCCGAGGCGGGTAGATCACCTAAGGTCAGGAGTTTGAGACCAGCCTGGTCAACATGGTGAAAGCGCCTCCCCCTCCCCCGTCTCTACTAAAAATACAAAATTAGCCGGGTGTGGTGGTGGGCGCCTGTAATCCCAACTACTCTGAAGGATGAGACAGGAGAATTGCTTGAACCTGGGAGGCGGAGGTTTCAGTGAGCCAAGATCACACCACTGCACTCCAGCCTGCGTGACAGAGCCAGACTCCATCTCAAAAGAAAAAAAAAAAAAAAAAAGCTAGGCTGGCTCGAGGGGGCCTCATCACATCAGCAGATGTACTAGGGGTCCCTTTAGGAGCCCACAGACCCATCCTGTTCTTCCTGGGGTGTGTCAGGCACTGGTGACAAACAGAGAACAAGACAGACAAAAATTCCTGCCCTCACAGAGCTTACACTCTGATGGTAACAAGTTCAGTAAAGAAAATAAAATGAAGCTGGGTGTGGTGTGGTGGCTCATAAGATCGCTTGAGCCTGGGCAATATAGCAAAAGCCTGTTTCTACTAAAATTTTAAAAATTATCCAGGCATGGTGGCGCGTGCCTGTAATCCCAGCTACTCAGGAGGCTGAGGTAGGAGAGTCACTTGAACCCAGGAGGCGGAGGTTGCAGTGAGCCGAGATCGCACTGCCACACTCCAACCTGGGTGACAGAGGGAGACTCCGTCTCAGAAAAACTTTAAAAAAATAAAATAATTAGCTGGGCATGGGGACACATGCCTGTAGTCCCAGCTACTCGGGAGGCTGAGGTGGGAGGATCTCTTGAGCCCAGGAGTTCAAGGCTGCAGTGAGCCATGATCACACCTCTGCACTCCAGCCTGGGCGACACAGTGGGACCCTGTCTCTGTAAAGAATAAATAAAAATAAATTTGTCTTTATTGGCTGGAGCCTCCCAATTCTGGTGTGGGATAGAAAACTAAGAAAATGCATTAGTCCTGGGATCGGGGCTGCTTCAGTAGGAACAAGAATCAGGGCAGCTCCCCGCCCCCCACAAAAAAAGGAGAAAAACTCAAATAATGGGGAACTTGATACCATTTGCATTCACCAGACAGAAAAAGAGAGAAGTCTCAATTCAGGTGCTTCAGGGGCCAGACAAACTAAGAGAGGTAAGACCAACAGAGGCCAGGCACGGTGGCTCCCACCTGTAATCCCAGAACTTTGGAAGGCCTAGGCAGGCAGATCACTTGAAGCCAGGAGTTCAACACCACCCTGGCCAACATGGTGAAACCCCCATCTCTACTAAAAATACAAAAATTAGCTGGGCGTGGTGGTGCGCATCTGTAATCCCAGCTACTTGGGAGGCTGAGGCAGGAGAATCGCTTGAACCCAGAAGGTGGAGGTTGCAGTGAGCCAAGATCACACCATTGCACTCCAGCCAGGGTGACAGAGTGGGACTCTGTCTCAAAAAAAAAAAAAAGACCAACAGAAACTCACACCCTGGCTAAAGAGGGTGCCCTGGACTCCAGGCAAGCATGGCCAAGTCTTGCCAGAAATCCCGATCTTTGTGTTTGCATTGCCAGGTTTTTAGCAAGGGTGACTGATTCAAAGTTTAAAAACAAACGAGAACACTTCTGTCTGGGTTAAACGTCTACATCTGGCCTGTGGGCCTATTTGAAAACTTTGACTGTTTAGCCCGTTCTGATGCTTAGACAGGACTGTGGCTCTGCCATAGGGTCCCCCTGCAGGACGCTGGTGACTCCCAAGGACATTGACAGCAGTGGCTTTCTGTCTCCATTCTGGAATCTGCATTCCGGGCTCACACTGTGGTCCCAAACACCGCAGGCTGGAGGGGGTCCCTGTCTGCCTCTTCCCCAGTGCTATTGGCAAGGGGTGGACCAGGCCCACCGGGGGGTGGGTGGCCGAGGTCACTGGCTGGCACGGGCCCCAGGCGCTCAGCCTCAGTCAGGGCAGCCAGCAGCCCGGCCAGGGGTGGTCGGCGGCGGCAGATGTCCTGCAGCAGCTCAGCCCGGGGCTGCAACTGCCTAATGAGTTTGTCCCTCTGGTGCACGGCGGCCTGCAGGCTGTGGACAGTGGCCTCTGAGGTCATCAGCTGCTCCTGGAGTGTGGCAATCTCACTGGCAAGAAGGCAAGAGGAGGTGATTACGGAACTGAGGACCACGGCGCTTGTTCCTCCCTGCTCCGGACCCCATCACCTTTGGGATAAAGCCCACATTCCTCACCACTGCCTCAGGGTCCTGCCTGGTTATGAACGGAATGTTTCTTTGTTTTTACTATTATTATTATTATATTTTACTTTTTTTTTTTTTTTGAGATGAAGTCTCGCCCTGTTGCCCAGGCTGGAGTGCAATGGCACGATCTCAGCTCACTGCAACCTCTGCCTCCAGGGTTCAAGTGATTCTCCTACCTCAGCCTCCCTAGTAGCGGGGATTACAGGTGCCCACCACCACGCCCGGCTAATTTTTTGTATCTTCAGTAGAGACGGGGTCTCCCCATGCTGGCCAGGCTGGTCTCAAACTCCTGACCTCATGATCCGCCCACCGTGGCCTCTCAAAGTGCTAGGATTACAGGCATAAGCCACCATGTCCAGCCTATTATTATAATTTTTGCGACGGAGTCTCACTCTATTGCCCAGACTGGAGTTCAGTGCAACCTCTGCCTCCCAGGTTCAAACAACTGTCCTGCCTCAACCTCCCGAGTAGCTGGATTTACAGGCATGTGCCACCATGCCTGACTGATTTGTGTAGTTTTAGTAGAGACAAGGTTCTGCCATGTTGGCCAGCCTGGTTTTGAACTCCTGACCTCAAGTGATCCACCCGCCTTGGCCTCCCGAAGTGCTGGGATTACAGGCTGAGCCACTGCACCCGGCCTGAACTGAATGTTTCTGTTTCCCCAAAATTCATATCATGAAGCCCTAACCCCAATGGGAGGTGTATTAGTCCATTCTCATGATGCTATAGGGACATACCTGATACTGGGCGATTTATAAAGAGGTGTAATTGACTCACATTTTCACATGGCTGGGGGTAGCCTCGGGAAACTTACAACCATGATGGAAGGCACCTCTTTACAGGGCAGCAGGAGAGAGACCAGAAAAGGGAGACTCCCTTATAAAACCATCAGATCTCCCTGACTGATTGAGACAAAATCTAGCTCTGTCATCCAGGCTGGAGTGCAGTGGTGTCATCTCAGCTCACTGCAACCTCCGCCTCCCGAGTTCAAGCAATTCTGCTTTAACCTCCCCAGTAGCTGGGACTGCAGGTGTATGCCACCACGCCCAGCTAATTTTTTTTTTTTTTTTTTGTATTTTTACTAGAGAAGGGTTTCACCATGTTGGCCAGGCTGGTCTCGAACTCCTGACCTTAGGTGATCTGCCCGCTTCAGCTTCCCAAAGTGCTGAGATTACAGGCGTGAGCCATTGCTCCCAGTCATCAGATCTCGTGAGAACTCACTCACTATCACGAGAACAGCATGAAGGGGAAACCATCCCCCATGATTCACTTACCTCCCACCAGTCCCTCCCACGACACGTGGGCATTACGGGATTACGATTCAAGCTGACATTTGGGTGGAGACACAAAGCCTAACCATAGCAGAAGGGTATTTGGAGATGGAGCCTTTGGGAGATGATTAGGGTTAGATGAGGTTGTCAGGGTGGGGGTCTCTATGATGGGATTAGTATGCTTATATGAAGAGATACAAAACAACTCCCTAGCTCGCTCTGCCCTGTGAGGATGCAGAGAGAAGCCAGAAATCTGCAAGCCAGAAAGAGGGCCCTCGCCATAACCTGACCATGCAGGCTCCCTGCTCTCGGACGTCCAGCCTCCAGAACGCTGAGAAACAAACATCTTGTTTAAGCCACTTAATTTATGGCATTTTGTTTGTTTGTTTGAGACAGAGTCTCTCTCTGTCGCCCAGGCTGGAGCGCAGTGGCGCAACTTCTGCTCACCGCAACCTCTGCCTCCTGGGTTCAAGCGATTCTCGTGCCTCAACCTCCCGAGTAGCTTGGGACTACAGGTGCCCGCCACCACACCCAGCTACTTTTTTATATTTTTAGTAGAGACGGGGTTTTGCCATGTTGGCCAGGCTGGTCTCAAACTCCTCAGCTCAGGTAATCTGCCTGCCTCAGCCTCCCAAAGTGCTGGGATTACAGGCATGAGCCACTGCCCAGCCAGTTTATGGCATTTTCTTATGAGAATCCTCATTGCATCCCCTCACTCTTCCTGCAATTCCTTCTTTTCCAGTATCTCTCCCCATTATTCTTTTTTTTTTGTTTGTTTGTTTGTTTGAGACGGAGTCTCGCTCTGTCGCCCAGGCTGAAGTGCAGTGGCCGGATCTCGGCTCACTGCAAGCTCCGCGTCCCGAATTTACGCCATTCTCCTGCCTCAGCCTCCCGAGTAGCTGGGACTACAGGCGCCCGCCACCTCGTCCGGCTAGTTTTTTGTATTTTTTAGTAGAGACAGGGTTTCACCGTGTTAACCAGGATGGTCTCGATCTCCTGACCTTGTGATCCGCCCGTCTCAGCCTCCCAAAGTGCTGGGATTACAGGCTTGAGCCACTGCGCCCAGCCTCCCTATCTATTCTTAGTAGGCTCTTCCTCCAGGAAGCCTTCCCTCTGAGACCCCTCAGAGCCCCATACGCCCCTCCATCACAGCCGTTGACCACCGATGATATAACTGCCCAGTGACATATCTATCTCTCCACTGGACTGTGGACACCCAATGGGCAAGGCTGAGTAGGTCTTACTGATGTGCTCCAGTACCCAGCATAGTGCCTGACACACAGTAGGGGTTCAATGAAGATGAATGGATGAGTGCCCGGCACACAGCAGATGCTCGGTAAAAATGAATGAATGTCCAATTAGCTCTGAATTAATAGTTCCCACTTGGAGCCCAGCTCCTCCCACCTCCCTGGGTGCCTGTCTCATGTCTTTCCTCCTCAGCTATCAGAGGGACTCTTCAAAAACGCTGATATGGGACAGCATGGTGGCGCATGCCTGTAATCCCAGCACTTCGGGAGGCTGAGGTGGGAGGATCGCTTGAGCCCAGAAGTTCCAGGCCAGCCTAGGCAACAGTCTGACCCCATTTCTAAAGGATTTTTTTTTTTTTTTAAATCAGCCAGGTGTGGTGTCGCACGCCTGTGATCCCAGCTACTTGAGAGGCTGAGGAGGGAGGGTGAGACTGTAGTGAGTCGAGATTGCACCACTGCATTCCAGCCTGGGCAACAGAGCAAGATCCCATCTCAAAAATAATAAAAGACTGGCCGGCGTGGTGGCTCACGCCTGTAATCCCAGCACTTTGGGAGGCCGAGGTGGGCGGATCACAAGTCAGGGATCGAGACCACGGTGAAACCCGTCTACTAAAATAAAAAATTAGCGGGCGCAGGGGCGGGCGCTGTAGTCCCAGCTACTCGGAGGCTGAGCAGAGAATGCGTGACCGGAGGGACTTGCAGTGACCGAGATTGCCCACTGCCTCCGCCTGGCGACAGAGCGAGACTCCGTCTCAAAAAAAAAAAAAAAAAAAAAAAATAATAAAAAAAAGACAGATAGGCGTGGTGGCTTATGCCTGTAATCCCAGCACTTTGGAAGGGTGAGGTGGGAGGATTGCTTGAGCCCAAGAGTTCAAGACCAAACGGGGCAACATGGCAAAACTGTTTCTACAAAAAAATTAGCCATGCGTGGTGGTGGACGCCTGTAGTCCCAGCTACTGGCAGTGGTCAGACTGAGATGAGAGAATCACCTGAGCTCTGGAGATCGAGGCTGCACTCCAGCCTGGGCATAGGAGTGAGGCCCTGCCTCAAAAATAATAAATTTAGGCTGGAGGTGGTGGCTCACGCCTGTAATCCCAGGACTTTAGCAGGCTGAGGCGGGAGGATCACCTGAGGTCACAAGTTAGAGACCAGCCTGCCCAACATGACAAAAAACAATCTCTACTAAAAATACAAAAATTTGACCGGGCATGGTGGCGGGCGCCTCTAATCCCAGCTACACAGGAGGCTGAGGCAGGAGAATCGCTTGAACCCGGGAAGCGGCGGTCGCAGTGAGCTGAGATCATGCCACTGCACTCCAGCCTAGGCGACAGGAGTGAAACTCAGTCTCAAAAAACTCATAATAAATTTAAAAAGTTAAAATGCTGATATGGGCTGCACATTGTGGCGCATGCCTGTAATCCCAGCACTTTGGGAGGCCGAGGTGGGCAGATCACCTCAGGTCAGGAGTTCGAGACCAGCCTGACCAGTATGGTGAAACCCTCTCTCTACTAAAAATACAAAAAAATTAGCCAGGCGTGGTGGCAGTTGCCTATAATCCCAGCTACTCCGGATGCTGAGGCTGGAGAATTGCTTGAACCTGAGAGGCCGAGGTTGCAGTGAGCTGAGATCGTGCCACTGTACTCCAGCCTGGGCGACAGAGTGAGACTCCATCTCAAAAAAAAAAAAAAAAATGCTGATATGATCCCCTCTTCCCCAGCTGAAGAGCCTGCTATGGCTCCCAGTGCCTACGCTGGGCGGTCTGTGGTCCCTGAGTCGCTCAGCACCTGTGGGAAAGTGGGCCTGTTTGAAGTTAGAGGCCCACACCTGTGTCACTTCTCTCAACTTTACATACTGATTACTAATTAGTTTTTTGGTGTTTTTATCAATCCCATAATCAGTCTAGCTTCCATACGAGTGCATACGGTTCCCCCTACCCTTCCTTGCTTTCCAGCCTCGGCTCTGCCTCCGCCCACCGCCTCGGTGAAGTCCACCTGGCCGGCCCCGGGCCTCACCGGTCCTTGGCGCGACCCAGTTCGTCTAGGGCAGCGCGCAGCTGCTGGTCGTGGAGAGCCAGGCGCTCGGCCTGGGCATGCACCGTGCGCTCCGCCGCGTCCAGCCGCGCCTCCAGCTCCGCCGCGCGCCGGTGCACGGCCGCCAGGTGTGCGTTCGCCTCCCGGATCTGCAGGGCAGGCGGCGCCGACATGGCCCAGGCCGCTGTCCAGGCCCGGCCACGCCCCCGGGCGGCCCGGAACTGGCAAGGCCCCGCCCCTGGGGTGGCCTCGCCCCTCTGAGACTCGGCGCGATTGGTCGCTGACCCCGCTAGACTCCGCCCCACAGGGCTAGGTCGCGCTCTCCCCAAACCCAAACACTACCACCGGTTCCGGGATCATGAAACTCCGCCCCTGAGTTTGGGCTCACTCTAGGATTGGACAAGATCTTGACAGCCACGCCCCCAGGCTGGCCACATCCTTTGGCGGCTAGCGCAACTCAGGCTCTGGAAACGGGATTGGTCACACCTTCGATACTGTCCCCGCCCTACTTGGAAGCTAACACCAGGATTGGCCCGGACTCCGCGAAACAGCATGTTGCCCGTCAGGGGCAGATCCAGGCACGGCCTCGCCCTTTTATCCTTTATACAGTCTCGGATTGGTCAAGTCCCTTTTAGGTTCTCCCTCCAATTCTAGCCACGCCCTCAAGTCAAGCGCCTGGGTACTTCATCCGGCCTAGGGCGTGGAATAGCCGCTGGTTGGACAGAGGCCACGTCCCGCGGAGCTTCTAGTATTGTCATTTGTCACTTTTCCGTCTAGTATTGTCATTGGTCATCTTCCCGACAATCCCCGCCCCTGATCCTGTCCATGGCCCAAAACAGTAGCACGCGGCTTAGACTCCAGCTTGGTGACTGACCACAGGGCATGACCACTCGCAATACAGATTCTGACACTGGGTGTGGCCACATCCCCGCCAAGCCCCGCCCCACAGCCATTGTCTCGTTTTGTCTCGCTACTATCAACTGCAGTCCCGCCCGTCCCAGTCTGAGCCTGGCCCCTCCCCTAGTAGATTAGTCCCCGCCTCTGGTAGTCAAACCGTCCCTAACCTAGGATTCCCTCAGCTGAGACTAGCGAAATCTGTTTGCACTGATCGCAGTCGTCCTCAGTTTTACCCTCTGGGAATCGGCCTGGGGGTGCACGTGCTGCTCTCTTCCACCAGGCCGGTCCCTGGCGCGTGGCGCGATCCGTGTTCATGTCCGCGGCTGTCAATAAAGTTGCTCACTTGTTGCCGGCCCGCTACCCCGAGAGGTTGCGCGCGCAGCCCGAGAAGTCTCGCGATAGCCAGCTGCGTCTGCCCTTGCTCTTGCCGAGCCGGCGGGGTCTGAGGTGTGGGATCAGGGTAGCAGGCTATGGCGCCGAAGGTTTTTCATCAGTACTGGGATATCCCCGATGGCACCGATTGCCACCGCAAAGCCTACGCCACCACCAGTATTGCCAGCGTCGCTGGTGAGCGCCGACCGGGCCCGGAGGGTGGAGGGCCGAGGCCGCAGGGAGGTCGTGGGGTCACTGGGGGCTGTCTGTTTGAATCGAACGGGGCTGGGAGTCTCGCGGGTACGCACGTGGTCGTCATCGTGGTGTCTTGGGCAGCCGTAGAGGGGGGGATCTTGTGTGAAATGGATGTTGGTAGGGAATCTAGCAGGGTTGGGGAGCACTGGGAGGTCGTGACATGCCACAAACTAGTCCCTGGGGTCGTCTGAGGCGGTCCCAAGCGATCGCCAGGCTCGGGGAAATTGTGGAGTGAGACATGGCCATTATCAGGTCCAAGGAGCTAGGGGACCACGAGACTTTCCAACGGAGTAGCAGATTGTTAGAGGTGATCATGAGTCATGATTGGGGCATCTGAGGGCGGTACAAAAGTTTGAGAAAGTTTTGGGGTGGGATGAGGTCTTTCTGTGGTCAGGGGGTGCTGAGTGGTTAGGGACACCTGAAGCTTTTACTGGGACTGCCAGAGAGGTCCTAGGTGAGGTGGATCAGGACCTACTATGAGGGTAGTCTTGCAGGGGAATAAGAGGGACCCACAAGCCCTGGCATTCTCTCTCTCTCTCTTTTTTTTTTTTTTTTTTTTTGAGACAGAATCTTGCTCTGTCGCCCAGGCTGGAGTGCAGTGGCGCGATCTCGGCTCACTGCAACCTTCACCTCCCTGGTTCGAGCAATTCCTCTCCCTCAGCTTCCCAAGTAGCTGGGATTACGGGCGCGCGCCACCACGCTCGGCTAATTATTTGGTATTTTTTAGTAGAGACGGGGTTTCACCATGTTGGCCAGACTGATCTGGAACTCCTGACCTCAGGCAATCCGCCCGCCTCAGGCTCCCAAAGTGCTAGGATTACAGGCGTGAGCCACCACACCCGGCAGGCCCTGGCATTCTCTTATAGGGTAGACCTGAGTCTTGCCCCTTCCAGCCTAAGCGTTTCATGGGCATCATGTCCTTTAATTCTCAGCCACAGGTTGGGACTCATCAGGTCCCAAATGGGGCTGGAAGGAGGAGACAGCTTGTCTCGGGGTGTGGTGCTGATGAGTGAAGGACTTCTGGGACCAGGGGCGCTCCCTAGGGGTCTTAGAGGGGGAGGTCAGAACTTTTGACAGAGTCGCCATGTCAGGGGATCTCTGATGGCATCACATTTAGATTTAGGGGTGGTCAGGGCTTCTGTGAGCCCTCCAAGGGTGCCCAGGGGTCTTCAAGAGTGACATTCGTTCTCCCTAAGGTTTTTTTTTTTTTTTTTTTGAGACAGAGTCTCATTCTGTCACCCAGGCTGGAGTGCAGTGGTGCAGTCTTGGATCACTGCAACCTCTGCCTCCCAGGTTCAATGTATTCTTCTGTCTCAGCCTCCCAAGTAGCTGGGATTACAGGTGCCTGCCACCATGCCTGGCTAATTTTTGTGTTTTTAGTAGAGACAGAGTTTCACCATGTTGGCCAGGCTGGTCTGGACCTCCTCACCTCAGATGATCTGCCCACCTTGGCCTCCCAAAGTGCTGGGATTACAGGCATGAGCCACCGCACCCGGCCTTCTCCCTAAATTCTTCAGTGACAGCTCCACTCAGTGTACAGAACTTGGCTGAAACTTGTTTCTGGGTCCTCCCCTCACTGCCCCACTCACTTCATTCCGGGGCTCCCCTAACTTCTCATCTGAGGGAGATAAATTGTTTCATGGCTGGTTTCCCTGAGTTGGGGGCCCTGGACGAGGGGGATACTGTACTCAGCAGAGCCCAGGACCTGTGGGCACACGATAACTATGGATGAATGAATGAATGAAGCATCTTGTGGGTATCATTTGTGAGTGAATGAATGAGTGAATGTGGCACCTTGTTAGGTACTCGGTAACTTTGAGTGAATTAATGAGTGAATGAATGAGTGCATGAGTGGCAGTAGCTGAATGAATGAATGATGAATGAGTGGCAGTAGCCGAATGAATGAATGAGAGTGAATGAGTGGCAGTGGCTGAATGAATGAATGAATGCAGGAGAATGAGCGACAGTAGCTGAATGAATGAATGAATGAATTCACACTGGGTCTGGTGGTCCCTGTGGGAGGCTCAGAGGGAACCAGCAGAGGGGGAGCAGAGGGAAGGGGGCCTTTTGAAGGGCTCTGAGGGCTCCTGGAGGGGTGGATATGGCAGGACACCACAACTGGATGACAGCTGTAGCAGAGTTGGGGTGGGGCAGTCCTTGACCTCTATGGGATGATCAGGGGGTCCCAGCTCGTCCACTCCCAGCTCAAGGACTTTGGAAGGGATGGAGGATGGTGGGCACGCTCACAGTGTCAGCCGTGCTACATGAGCTGCTAGGGGCCTCTTGGCCAGGACCACTGGCATATGGGGGTGGCATAAGGAGGTTCCGACCAGGAGTCCCTCGGTGACTGGGTTCTGGGGGCGTCACTGAGTCTTGTCTGTAGTTCCCTCTTGAGATGAGAGGGTTATAAGACTCTCATGGCAGCCAGGCGCCAAGGCTCACGCCTGTAATCCCAGCCCTTGGGGAGGCCGAGGTGGGCAGATCACGAGGTCAGGAGATCGAGACCATCTTGGCTAACACGGTGAAACCCCGTCTCTACTAAAAATACAAAAAAATTGCCGGGTGTGGTGGTGGGCGCCTGTAGTCCCAGCTACTTGGGAGGCTGAGGCAGGAGAATGGTGTGAACCCGGGAGGTGGAGCTTGCAGTGAGTCAAGATCGCGCCACTGCACTCCAGCCTGGGCGACAGAGCGAGACTGTCTCAAAAAAAAAAAAAAACTCTCATGGCTGGCCCAGCTCTGGATCAGGACTCATCAGGTCCCAGGCAGGGCTGTCAGTCCCCTCTCATTAAGAATCTTCAAGGCTGAGGCAGGTGGATCACCCAAGGTAAGGAGTTCAAGACCAGCCTGGACAACATGGTGAAACCCTGTCTCTACTAAGAATACAATAATAATAATAATTAGCTGGGCATGGTGGCGGGCACCTGTAATCCCAGTTACTCAGGAGGCTGAGGTGGGTGGATCACGAGGTCAGGAGATCAAGACCATCGTGGCTAATGTGGTGAAACCCTGTCTCTACTAAAAATACAAAAAATTAGCCGGGCATAGGCCGGGCGTGGTGGCTCAAGCCTGTAATCCCAGCACTTTGGGAGGCCGAGACGGGTGGATCACGAGGTCAGGAGATCGAGACCATCCTGGCTAACACGGTGAAACCCCATCTCTACTAAAAAAAATACAAAAAACTAGCCGGGCGAGGTGGCGGGCGCCTGTAGTCCCAGCTACTCGGGAGGCTGAGGCAGGAGAATGGCGTGAACCCGGGAGGCGGAGCTTGCAGTGAGCCGAGATCCGGCCACTGCACTCCAGCCTGGGCGACAGAGCGAGACTCCGTCTCAAAAAAAAAAAAAAAAAAAAAAAAAATTAGCCGGGCATGGTGGCGGGTGCCTGTAGTCCCAACTCGAGAGGTTGAAGCAGGAGAATAGCGTGAACCTGGGAGGCAGAGCTTGCCGTGAGCCAAGATAGTGCCACTGCACTCTCAGGCTAGAGTGCAGTGGCAGGATCTCGGCTCACTGCAACCTCCGCCTCCCGGGTTCAAGCAGTTCTCCTGACTCAGCCTCCCGAGTAGCTGGTACTACAGACTTGCACCACCACGCCTGGCTAATTTTTGTATTTTTAGTAGAGATGGGATTTCACCATGTCGGTCAGGCTAGTCTCAAACTCCTAA